TAGAGAGACGGCTTGCTTATCCCTTTTCTCGTAAAACCTCGCCAATTTTTATTCCCGCGGATGCCTGGTGTAGCCGCCACCTTTCATCAGCGCGGTGCTTCAAAGAAAAACTTCAAATCTGTCCTTGGCTTCGGGTCTTTCAACCGAAGCCGTTCTTCCGTCGACTCTTACCTTCCCCGTCAACCTACAAGTAGGGTCAGCATCGATACCACGAGAAGTTTTCAATACAAGCGCAAATCCCGCCAAGAACGTGCGAGTGCAACCGACGCCTCCTCTGATTCACTCTCAAGTTCGCCCCACGCACATCAGGAGCATAGTCAGAACCACAAACACGACCCAAATAACACCGTCCGCAGTATGAAGTCCATAGACGCCGCTCATACCCGTCCTCTTAGAAGACCACCGGTCAGGATCGATGCTCAGGAAGGTCCCTGGAGCGTCAGCGTCGCTGAGACTCCACACGATGTACACTCGTATAGCATTTACATAAAGAGTGAGTCTTGCATTTTCGCTCCACTCTTTCTCCACCATGTTGGTCAGAACGAATTCGTTCATTACCTACGCAATTGGATTTTCGTCTGGCTTTCCGAGGTAGCCGGGTTGCCATTCTGTGTGCATGTGATTGCCGTCCAGTGTTTTATGTCCTAAGGCCCCGTTAATTCCTACCACATGTCTTTAACAAACGAACCTGCTAATGATATTCTTTCTTCCGCAGCCTCCACGCACAACCTCACCCTGACTCGCACTGCCACAGAGGTCGTCGAGTTGCACGGCAAGCTTGCAGACTCCGTCCCAGGCACCAGACTTCCCAAGTTGCCCGTAGACTCGGCGGCTCAACCCATCAAGCGGAATATCTTCCTCAACACGCTATCCCGCCTTGCCTCACCAAGCAACAAAGTAGCGCGCACGGTATCTACACGCATAGCCAGCGCTAGTTCCATCACTCCCATTGTTTCACCTACGCACGAGATCGGCGACCCTTTTACAGAGACGGGTGCCACAGGTTCAGGAGGCAACGTAGTCACGAGCCTTGCTGCATATCTCACCACCATCTCAAATGAACCAACGTTCCGACAGACCCGCGCATGGAAGCGTTTTGTACGTGTGCGCACCGATGACCTCGAGAGCGTGCGTGTAGAGCGCGCGATCAAGCGTGTGCGCTCTGATCTGGCAGCGCATGGTAGCTCCAATGTTACCACAAACGTCAGCTCGGGCAACGTCAGTGAAATTGAGGTGGATGATACCAATGATGCTACGAGCGAAGTCAATCTGAACGATTTTGCTGTCGGTGACTTGAGGGAGGAGGGGATCAAAGAGGAAGAAGAGGATGTAGAGTCTATTCCTGTTCAGGTGGAGGCTCTAGCTCCTGTTGCGGATGGGGCTCCTCTTACTGAAGCGCCTGAGGACATTGTCGTCGCGGATGAAGCAGTTCCTACACCCATAGAGGCAGAACTTGCAGTTCCTAACGCAGCCGATGGGGAAGAGACAGCTGTGTCTACGCCTGTCGCAGAGGTCCAAGCTTCCCGGATACTTCGTTCCCACTCTGCCGATCCCGATAAAGCTAGCCGTTTGTCGCGAGTATACACCTCCTCGACATTGCAGGAAGGTACGAGCTCCCAAACGGGCGATGACTCTTCAATCAGCACCAACACTGGGGGGCGTAAGAATCGTACCAAGTCGACTGACCCGAACAGGGAACTCAAGAAGCGCTCAAAACGCAAGGTTGTCATTGATGACTTTGAGATGATGCGTGTCCTTGGAAAGGGGTGTGCTGGCAAGGTCTTACTTGTGAAACACAAGACGAGCTCGGATCTGTATGCCCTGAAGGCGATCACGAAACGTCATGTACTGGCACATCAGGAACTGCAGCACACGTTGACCGAACAAGCTGTGCTCAAACGGATGGCAGCAGAGTCGAAAGACCCATTCGTTGTCAAGCTCTGGTGGAGTTTTCATGATAAGGAGAATCTATTTTTAGTCATGGTATGCTTCTTCATAGAAGTGCACAACACGCACATTAATGGCGTTTTCTCCTAGGATTTCCATCCAGGCGGTGACCTTGCCACGCAGCTTGCACGTTGGGGTAGGCTAGGTCGGGACCGTGCCCGGTTTTACGCCGCGGAGATAGTCGAAGGTGTCGAGGGCCTGCATGCAGCCGGGGTCATCTACCGTGACCTGAAACCTGAAAACATCCTGATTGGTGCAGATGGGCATATCGTACTGACAGACTTTGGCCTCTCAAAAGAATTCCCACGTCGTGTAGCTGCAACGACCGCGCCTCCTACTCCCACACGAGGCGAGTTCTATTCAGCTCCGGGCAGTGAGCCTGCGACGCCGCCCTGGATGAAGGCCGAAAAGAGTCAAGACGCTGTAATGGGATGGCATGGACAGACTGTCGGCCCTATGGATGCGACGACGACTTTCTGTGGCACAGCAGAGTATTTGGCTCCAGAGGTGATCCAAGGATTGCCATATAGTTACGAGGTCGACTGGTGGAGTTTCGGCACCATGCTTTATGAGATGCTGACGGGAATTGTAAGTGCCCTGGGTTGAAGCTTCGACGGCTACTCATGTGCAATAGACGCCATTCTGGGCGAATAACCACTCCGACATGTATGTCAGGGTCCTCCAGGATGAGCTGCAATTCCCTGAGGATAGAGCAATTGACCAAGATACCAAGAGCTTGATTAGAGGGGTGGGTAATGCTTCTTGTCCATGACCACAAATCATTTATAGTCGCCTTCGCATAGCTCTTGCAACGAAATCCTGCACTTAGGATGTGCGAGCCGCGGATCAAGCGGCACCCGTACTTCTCTATGATGTGAGTTTATCACGAGGCCAACTTTCCTGATCTTGATTTCTTCCCCTTCAGTGACTGGTCGCACGTGTATTACAAGCGCTACATACGTGAGGCATATTCGCTGCTGCGATAGATAGATGTGCTTACTTGACGTTATCCCTCTAGCCCCCTATATCCCACCTATTGATCCATCCAATGCCAGTGATACCCAGAACTTCGACGACACATTCCTGGATATGGAACCAGTGATTGACGACCCGAACGATCAGGAACAAACTGATACAGACCGTGACCAAACGGACGCTGAGCCTACAGATGGGGAAGGCGAGGATTCAAGCACGACACCCTCGCATTCCCGTAGCCCATCAGTGCATCCAATTGACGAGAGCGTCGATGTCTTTGACGGGTATTCGTTCAAGGGCCGGCATTCTGTTATCCTGGACGATGATGACGATGATGAGGTATCTGGAGAATCTGAACGGGAAGAGACCGATGAGGAAGAGGTACCAGAGATTCTTTCAAATATTGCGGATACCCCTCTGCAACCGGAGGTCGAGGAGGCATCACCTGTTGTCGATGAAACGACTCCAGAACCGAAGACTCCTGAAGCCAGACCACAAGTCCTACCAGAGGAACAACCCGCCGAGATCGTCGTTCAGCCGCAAGAGGAGACTACAACACTGGTTGAGGAACCTGCAACCCCAGTTGAACCTATCGCACTCTCAGAGCCGCCATCTGCTCCTCTCAAGGAATCACCGTTACCGACTACTCCCACGTCGCCGCCTCAGGAGATTGTGCCTATTCCACCAGCTAAGGATGTCAAGCAGAAGGTCACAAAGCCAGCCGCTCCTCGGCCGAGCGCCCATCGTTCAACACGTAATCGCCGAGAGAAGTCTGGTGTCCCTGCACTTGACCGCTTCCTTTCCGATGGCCCTGACGAGGAAGAATGCACTGAGAAGGAGGAGGAGGAGGACTGGGACTTTATTGAAGCTGGGGATGGCGAGGACCGCAATGGTACCAAGGGCACAAGCTTGTTTGCTCGGGGTGTCGTCGACCGATACCGGTTGGCCGTATTCCGCAAAGCATCAACCCCTTCGCAACGGATGGGTGGACGCTCATTTTCTGGCATGTCAAAAGAGTCTGATGTTCACGGTACCGACCCGGCAGAGTCACCTAGTCCATCAGAGAAGCATCGTCGTGGACGTGCACCTGCATTGAAGTTCCGAAAAACGCCCAGACAGTTCCTCCGTGCAAAGTCTCCGCCATCATCGTTTCCCACCACCAAGTCATCTTCTACTGCAAAAACCCTCACTCCTTCCACATCCGCTACCCTATCATCGGTATCAAGTGGTGGCCTCCTTTCACCTTCCGTTTCAGGCACTAGTCCAACACCGATGTCCCCATCGCTCAAGTCGAAAGAATCAGCAACTTCAGTCGGCGAAAGTCTATCGTCGGATCAGTCAAACGGTGATACGATACCAGAAACCCTTTTTTCACCCGAATCGACGAGGGGAGCCCCGGCCGCTCACACGGAAGAGCCCGAGAAGCTTAAGACCAAAAAGCTTAAGAAGTACAAAGAAGGAGCAGAGAAAATGCTGTCCCTCTTTGCTTCTCCTCGTCAGTGATCACGATCCAGTCGACCGCGGGACCGGTCCCTCTTCTTCTCTTCTGCTGCTTCCGCATTCTCACCAAGTCAAAGTCAAACAATAATCTTGTATCCTTCATCTCAAGACTCATTATCACTATGCATCGCCTCACAATTACTTACTAGCACTTTCCTTTTTTTTTCATTGACCTTTTTATATCAGTTCATCGAGGATGGGTCGCGAACTAGAATCGCGACCGGTTTTTTGCTCCATTACATATGGATATGGACTGGGTGCTCGTTTTACGTTTCTTAATTGATCACGTCCCTCTGTCGTTACTTCCGGGCCATTACTGTTTTGCTGAAGCCAAAATCAAACAGGAGGCATTATTGTACAGATTTATTTAAATCCTTATAATTTGCTTCTTCAAGCTGCAACGCTTCATATTCTACTTTGAGTTCGTAGTGCTGGAACGTAGAAAATTTCAGTGGCACTGTCAAACCCTTCGCTGAGCACGACAGTTAAGCTCTTGGCCAGCACAGCACAGTGGGTCAGAATAAATATTAAATTGAAAGGCAAGACCGCTAGGAAGCAATGACACAGTGCAGGATTCCCTACACAGTGCTGCTAGTTGATACATGTACACGCTCCTGGAAAACGATCGAATTCATGCTAGTTTCTGCATCGGAATCGGCCACGAGATTGGCGTGATATTCTCGAACGCTAAGGATAAGGCGTGGTCCCAGCACAAATATCTGCACGACAAATGAAATTTCAAGAGCACCATTGAGTATCTGATCTCCTATAGAATGTGAATTCTACAGAAATGATTAGCAATGGTTACACGCAGATGTCCGCGACAGGTCAGCGCACCTTGAGCTCTGGAGAGATAGTCGCAAGCTTGAGGCAAGAGACACAAACAAAGCTAGCACGTACAGAACTTTAGCAGATAACTGCATTCACATTACAAACTTACCTTGCAAAATAAAGCACGTGAGATTTCATCAACACTCTGAAACAGTCCCCGATGATCGATCCTGTCGATGGGTCGAGTCGTCGCAGGTCACGGAAGTGTTTCACAGCAACCCAGACTGAAAGACACAGTGCGAGGACCTCCAAAACAGTGTCGAGCATCCAGACCATCGAGTTCAGAAGCTGGTTATCCCCTCCAAATCCATAATCGCACATATACGTGCCAGAGAGTATCAACTCCTCTGGTATTTGTCCTATGAGCTGCGTTCTTTAAGTCAATAAGTAAAACTTACCCGCTGCATTATGCTCGAGGTCTATTGCCGTCATTACTCCGCAGGCGATGTTAACACCCAGGAAGATAATGACAAGGAAGATAAGCATCATTCTAGATCCCTGATACATGGCATGCAGCCGAGCAATCATGATGACTTGCATCACGTTTCAGTCGAGTCAATATCAATGAGGTATTGCAGCTGGGTAACTCATTATTCAACATCGCAATCACAATCACAGTTGTCCCATTCAGTGCGTAGCCCATAATATTGCCTGAAACACCCGATCAGTGAACACCCTCGTACTAGTATCAAACACTGCGACTTACACCTATTGACTCGTTATGTTGAGCCGAGTTCAATAATGAGATCTTCACTCACCCCTACAAAGAGTCATTCATCGGATGGCAACGAGATTGTTGCGGAATACTCACTGCATCTGTCAGCGAGACAAATGGCGAAAATTCTGTGTGCCACCGGTCAGAAGAATTGAACACAACACATATGAGACATACCCAAAATGTCGGTACTAATTGTCAGAGGTGAGCTATTAGCAAGTGCCGATTTGTTAGCCTCGACACATACACAATAAATGATATTCCAATATAACGTATCTAAAACATTTTGGAGTCAGCACAACCGCCAACCACTGTCGCACCATAGCACAACATGAGGTACGAACAGCTAAATATAGCACAGTCATGAGAGACCAGCGTTGCATCTGTCGTGAATTCGTTGTATTCTCCTGTTTTTCTTCTGATATGGGACTCTTGTCACTCACCCAGATCAGTTCGACCTATAACACCGTTGTTAGCTAGCGGCTGCTCCGGCGATAGCACCGACCTACTTCTTGTCCAAGTATTAAGACTGGAGATATCATGAGAATATCAGCGATTCTCCAACACTCAGGCTGTCCTGCTCACCCCAATCGTATACCACCACGACGCCGGCAGCGACTGCGAAATGGCAAGTCAGTGGCAGATCGAGATATCTTGATGCGACAGACCTATCCAATAACTTAAAACAATATTTGAATCAATTAACGGCCACCAACTAGGGTCGTCTGAGACTATGGTCATATTCGAGGGATTGGTATGAAAGTAGGGAATGTTGGTGGTGTATAACAATAGCGTTCGTGCTAGATATACCACCGTTCAGCGCTTGTATCGCATGATGGAGATGTATATTTGATCTCGCCCCAAACCCCGAAGTAAGCATTGCGGTGCGAAATCAAACGAAATGAGCAAGCCCTCGGAGTCAAAGTAAATTTTATGTTTTCAAACCAGTACTGCGCAGCACAAGGAAAGCTCTGGTCGTTGCTGATATCGGCAACTTATGTCCAACGCGATTTTCGGGGTGTTCTATATGAAAGCGGCCATCGATCTAACAACATTGGCAGTTCTCAGCGCGATGTGATCGCAACCAGAGTCCAGACACAACTTGCCAACCACGCTAGTTTGACAATGAGACAAACAACCAAATACAGCATAGACCAGCATTATGTAAGCCTCTGCAAAAACAGGAGGCATTATTGTACAGATTTATCCTTTTTCAATTGGTTGCAACGTGGAGCTCTATCTTCGCAGTGTTAGAACGTAAAAAATTGCACAGGCTGGTCAAAAGCATAATGCGCTAGAGAACTATATACATTTCGATGACAAACCCCGGCTGAGGGTCAACTTACTACGCGCGGATGGTATATCTTCAACGATGACCTCCATCCACCTTCCAGCGGACAGTGAGCTCCAATCCTACGTAACTGTATCTGTGTTGCCAGCACTCTCTTCCTTCTTCAGGCTTATGAAGAGGCGACATGGTTTCCAAAAGAGAGTCATTGTTAAAGGTAGATGGAGTAACCAAGATTCAGTTCTAGGACTCACAGTTGCGTGAAACAAAAAACTCTCTTATCCCCATCATGTAGATGATATCGAGCGGCCAATACAGGTATAATGCTGGATTCGAATGAATATACTGGCTTGCTTTGCACTGTGGCAGTGCTTTTCAAAGCTCCTCGGTGTCTTCTGTTCAATCGTCACTTGAAGCGAGGGGAATTTGAAGTATTGCATGACCAGGACAATGTCTCTTTCACAAGTAAATCGAGGCTCCTGGATGTTGAGAAAAGGTGCAAAATTGGAATTACCGCAGTCCGATGGGCAAAGGACTTAGCCTTTGAATCATTTGTGCGGCTTCCCGTGAATATGCACTTCGAGAAGGGTAGGAATATTGGAGAGGTGTTCCCATGGTGCCAAGCTGAGCTGCGGACGCATAGGAGTTACGAGGCGTGGTGGAGTGAGAGAGCCGCAGGGATAGCTCATCTCTTTACTGAGCACGACAGTTAAGCTCTTGGCCAAGATAACGTCAGAATAGATGTCAAATCGAGAGGCGGCAAGACCGCTAGGAAGGAATAGAACAGCACAGGAGACAGGGAGAAACGCAAGTATCCAATATTCGTCCCAGAAGAACAGCAACAGTCCTGACAGTGGGAACTACGTCTTTACGGGAAGCACCGTAAGCAAGTGAAAGTGTTTGTACACATTGTGCATATGCCTTGAGTACAGTGTAAGCGATGTTATCCGAAGTCGATCGATCTAAATGGGCTTGAACGAAACATATGAGCGAAAAATGACACAGCGTGACCAATTCCACCAAGTACATAGTTGCAACACGGCCAAACCACTCAAATCTCATTTCAAATTTGACTAATTGGCGTGTCGGACCTACAGCGAAGGGGTATCAGGGCACAAGAGACATAATCGCTAACCGATCTCGTAGCTCGCGAAAACTGGTATGATAAGCAAAGTGCAAAAAGTAGGCATAGAGGTTCGACACGAGTCGCAACAACTCACAAGCCGAAAAGGTATGAATGCAGACTTGATAGGCACGCTATAGACAAGCAAACTTCGATTTGCGTTTTTGTAGCTCCTCCATCCGAGAGTTGAGCTGCACACGAGCACGTTCCTTCGCACGTCGTTCTTCGTCGAGATGCGATTCGAGGGACTGTTCTTCTTCCACGATCGATTTCCGAACAGTAACAACCTCACGGCGCGCTTCCTGTAACTCGTTGCGAAGGCCCTCAATTTGTGAATTAAGCGAGTCTCGTTCCCTCGCAAGCTTCGTTGCTTGCATGCGCGCGTTGAGAACTGCAAGACAAATATAAATGGTTAGCTTAAACACTAGAGTGATCAGGAAAAGATACATACGATTCTTCTCAGAGTCGCTCAATGATGTCTGTAATGCGCTCACGAGATCCATGTGAGTAGCCAAATCACTCTCACAGTAAGATAGCTGTTTGTTGAGTATCTTGATCATCACTTCCTGTTCATCGATATGCTTCGCTTGACCCTCCGAGTCGAGCTTGGCGTCAATGAGCTTAGAGTCTACCTCAGGGCCGCTTGGTGCAAGTACAGAGGCAACTGACGTAGCAGAAGCGTCGGTAAAGTATTTCCAAAACATAGTAGAAGGTTGAGTAGAACTCGGATACACTGAACTGGGGTTTCGATGCTGGCGAGAGCGCGATAGACTCGTGGACCAGTCCGTCAGATCTTTAGACTCCGTCGATAGAATTCCTGGGTGGCGTCACATGATCTTTACCATGAAATGATAAAATGATAAAATTTTCAAGTTGCATCGGTGTACTTCTGCTCGGCGACTTCGTCCGGATACTATCAGCATGACTCGGACAATTTTACCAGTCGAACTTTGTCTTCAGAACACGCAAGTGTGCTGACTCCCACCTCCCAAAATTCAGACATGTGCGGGACAAGCATCATTTAATCATCCTGCATATCTTGTATCATTCCTTGTCGAGAATGGGAATGTCTGGAGTACTCTCAAGGGCAAAGGTCATATCAACCAGGCGACACCACCCGCATTGAACAAGGTGATCTTGATGGTTATAAATCTCGCCTACCTCAGGCAAAGAGAAGAAGAAAGCCTTTCCTGATAACGGTGAAAACGGATCTCGCCCTCGGTACTACACTGAAATCGCAGCCACCCAAAATGAAGGGGAAAGCTGAAGCTGCAGTTCGCCTTACGAATGACCGTAGTTTTGGTGTGTTTTATGTGCAAATGATGCAAGGGTACTCACACATTTCAACCAGAGTTCGGCCACCTTTCGCAACTTGTGTTTCATGGTTTCTTGACTTCGGTACTTTATCTCCCAGTAGTACGAATTAGCCTTGCATATATCATGGCGTCCAGGATTGTTGACTTCAGGGTAGCAAGTCCTAGCCACTCTGCAATCTGGTGCGGACTTGATAATAATTAACCGGGTGCTTCTGCAGAGGGGCCACTAATAATCATATTCCATCAGGGACAGGAAATACAAGATGAACAGACTCTCAGAAATCCAAATCTGGGTCACTCTCTTAGAAGTTGTTAACCTCCGCCTTTGCAGGGCAGTCCATGTCCAAGAAACTGGCGCAAGATTCTGGTAATGCCAAGAAGAAAATTGAAATTGTCGGTGCCAACGAGGAAGTCGAAGTCGAAGTTGAGAAAAGCGAGGAGCCAACTGAAAACGAGTTGGATTTCATCTACAAGAAGCGGCTATCATGTTGACAGTCTTCCAGGGCCAGAACAACGAGCGATCGATGATCTTCCTGACATGTTTACATTAACACTAAGGGGATACCAGAAGAAAGCACTTGTGGCCAGATTATCATCAAATTTCTTGTTCTACTGATTCATACAAGGTGGACGCATAGAAGCTGTGTTTATCCATCTATGGAGTTAGTAAGTCCCCAACCTTGCTATAGGAACAGCTGTCAACCGTTCTTATATGCATGCTTTCCCTGCCGAACTGTAGTCGATCTGACTGAAGACGAGAAGTCAGTCTTGACTTTCCTAAAGCCGAACACAAACTCAAAGGAGGGATCCTTGCGTTAGTAAGAATTTGTATAACACTGTCCGTTTCATCTGCCAATGTCAAGCTGTCAACGTTATACCACAGTGGTAAACAATGCATTATTTATTCATATCTTGCGACATGTGCGGACAAGGGAGAGGTGCCACGATGCACAACGTGTTCATAAGGACCGATCAAGGAGCAAGACCTCATTGAGGTTCTCCGGCTGTCTGGTCAAGATAGCCCACACCAGGTGTTTTCAAAGGACGAAAAAGAAGGGACGTCGAGCATCAGAAGTCTTCCCGTGAAATGATTCTAAATCCTCCGCTAAACTGGATGCGCCGGTACAAAATCTCAGTGGGTGCACCTCTGCATAGTCCATTCCATTCTGATCTAAGTTAATTTCAGGGCACCTGTCATGGTATCGTTTCGATAGGATCAATAATGGGCCTCAACTTGAAGCGCATTGCTGTCATATCAGAATTCGAGCGGAACGAGCGGAAGCCCAAGCTTGAAGCCGTTGGTCTGAACTTAAGCGCAAGCTACCTGCCTCTTGAATTCCCCGAACATTACTTCAAACAATAGCTGACGAGCGCCAACCACATCTTCATGATTAGTCCCCCAGAACTTGTTGCCCTGTGCCACGCTAATGAATATTACTCAGACTTCTGATGGAACGCGGCGACTGAAAATCGAGGTTGGCATCGGTGTCCGTTCTATGGTTGACCGTACTGATTTTAGTGACAGCCAATCGATGACATGCACCGAATTCGTAGGTGAAGAAGAAGAAGAAAACTTGTAGTGAGCACGTCTTTATCATATTCATTAAACCTTCTTTGAGGTCGATCACACCGAAGGCCGCATACTCCGGATCCAAAAACGTAAGACTGTCATGGACAAAGAGGCGCTCCAGGGGAACGATAAATCGGGTAAAGTAAACCCGGGGAGTCTCGAGGACCTGAAAGTTATATTCGGTGACAAGGAATGACAGCTCTTGTATAAGTAGCGCATCTCTTCGAATGGCATCGAACTACTAATTGCAAGTCTGCGGAACGAGATATTAATTACTGAATCAAAATGGACTTGGATAGGAACATCAAAACCCACGACCCAGACACAGCCGCTGGGCTGAACTTAATAAAAAAAAATATTCCATGACCAGTATCTCCAATGAACACATTACTAATGGGCCTCGCACGATTTCAGGAGGCGCTCGTGCGCCGGTATAGCCAAAAAACGGTTCCTCGAAACGCGGAGGAGACCGGCTGCAATTATTGAATAGCAGTATGACACGAAAATAAGTAGTAGAGCCCCCAAAGAACATTATGATCACTTCCACAGATCGACAAACAACTAATTGCAACTCTCCTAACGCAAACACTTTGTTATTCCATCGTACGATCACCGTATCTAACGGGGTACAGAATACATGAGAGGAAAACCATCAAAGTGAAGGCCCTGCATCGTAACGCCAAGGTACTATTATGAAACATTGCAACATAAAGCCCTGGCATCCCCTGAGATGTAAAATTACTCCAGGAGAAACAGAATCCTCTAGCCATAAGTGCTCGTAGTCCGTCTTGATCGCGCTGCAAAATCGACATGACCAAAACTAGTGGGGTATGTCAGCACACCGTGACGTTATACAAGTCCGTCCCATAAAAGGATCTCGAAGACGCCCTGTGAAAGACATTGGTGCGCTTGTTGGTCCTAGGTAAAAGAAGGCTTCACTAGCGTAGCCACTAGTACATTATACTCGTCCTTGAATGCAGCTAGAAAGTTGGATAAAAATCGCCGTGAGGGCCATGGACATTATGGGTGAACTATTGAAGTGTTACTAGTGGCTTGAACACGTTGAAAGACTTTCTTGCCTCATGGAGCATGGCCCAAACAACCTAAAATTCCTCATAAAAGGTGTCGGGAGCCCATGGACGGCGCTATCTCAGAAGAATTTGCCCTCCGTTTATTAGCGACTGTATATGGAGCAAAGCCGAAGCCAATGTGTCCAGTTAAGCGTCGCGAGGCAGACCACACCTGCCGCGCAGGCACCCGTCGCCTAGGATAAGGGTCCACTGACCAGGGCTTGAGGGACACTAGAAAGGCGAATGGCAGTGGTTTCTAACCTGCGAGAGTTCTCGTCAGGGGGCTTACTACCTCTAGCCCTACCTCGCCGTTTTACTCGTCCTATTTAAGAGGATACCACTGAGCTTTGATACGACCTAGTGAGAGTATATGGTCCATGCGCGACTACAAGTCTATGTCTGGCCAGCTGCATTCGGTACTCATAACCCACCAGCAGGGTGGGTACTTGTAGGGGGACAGGAAGCTTCATCTCCCGGCATTTAGCATGAGCCGAACTAGTTGGTACCTGCCAGTGTGTACGGCCGTTTCCGAACCGCACTGGTGTCCGTACAAAGACGGAACCGGACATCTAAATGTGTGCAATGGATAACTAATGTGTCCGACGCTCACTCAACCCTGCATGATGGGTGACCGTATGAAGAAGCCTCATGTGATGCTGGAAGGAACTTACCAACCAGATTAGGGCTTTCGGGAAGAATAACAGTAAGACCCAGCCATGTGTTTTACTAGTAAGGTTGTTACCCGTTGACTCACCGTGACAGCATGGGCAAGGCTCGATCTGCACGTAGGTGTCTTTCAAGTGAATAAATGATATCACGAAAGTTTGCGACATGTACCTTGGAGTGCCAACTGGAGAGCGGCCAACTGAAGTTGGCAGAAAAGAGTTGGGGAATTGACGCCCCGCGCTCAAAGCTGCAGTTGGTGTGTGATCGGATCAAGCATGCTTAGTCAGCTTTAAGTTTTACACCAACTTGATCGCTATACCGGCGCAAGTACTAAGCATGCCCTTGTCTACGAACTTCCTCGATGCATACTTCAACTTTGTTCCCTCGGTGTTTTTTAACGGCCGGGCTGACCTCGAATCTCGAGTAGTGGCAGTTCTGCGGTTATAGGCGTTCTTTTGTGTTCTGGACCCTTGATGAGTATTCCGATGCTAATTCAACGTAAGTACCTGGCAAACCTTTGTCAACTAATCAAAGTTTTGGTGCTAAATGTCACCCCTTTTGTTATCAGCGCCTTTGCCCAAATAGCAGGACCCTAAGTGCGTGTGCTTTTGGAATACTCACTCAAAGACAAATTATAATAAGTCCATCGTGCGACTGTGGAACCGCCCTTTCCGTTGTCCAACGACTTTAATGACCTTTTCCCCAGAGCTCTTCTATCCCTGAAATTAGCTGGGCGCATTGCAACGCATATGAGTTCAACGGCAACAACAACAGCAGATGTCCTTAGTTCATTTTCTTATGCGCAAAGTTAGTTCCAGTAATGTTCCCGACTTACAATCTGATTTAATCCAAATGCTTTCAGTTGCTGTCGCTGTCGCCGTCTTGTATGATCACTGTATGCAATCCATCAAGTCTTATGACCACTCACTCAATTATCGTCTGTTCAGCACTGGCCTTCGCTCGTGAAGTGAGTCACTGTTGGCCCATAAACGAGCAAAACTTAATGGTGTTGCTGGACTCTTAGATAGATTATATATGGGTGAGTCAAAACTTGTAAAAATGGTGTACGTTCGTCATATGCTGACTTCATTGATGGCTAGCGGAGGCCGCCTTCAATAGTAGCCGCCTTATATCTATTGGTATGTGCAACTAGTATAGATTTTTCTAGTCTTCACGTTGGTTAGGACCGCTACCTGGGCGATTCCGTTGTGATGTAAGCCCTGGTGTTTAGCTCTTATCAGTAATCTGATGTGTTCTTAGCATTGGTGTATATCGTATGTTGATATTTATCTCACAAGTTATCTCTCTCACGTGTTCTAGTGTGCCTCACTGAAGATGCATCAACACAAGTGAGCACGTTTGTCTAAACGTATGATTTGTGGTTTTCTTACAAAGTCATTTACAGGAGTATGGTCTATAACGCGCTTATTCGCACTTCTTGCTGATAGTATTGGTTTCACGCATTCTTCAGATGCAAGTCCATTGACTTCGTATTCGAAATGGCCAGTATCTGACTTATACCCAAGGCTTTCGGCTTTTCCAAGTCCGAGCGTGGGGTACTCTTCTGTGTTCGTGGCTTACTCAGTGTAAATCATATTTGTGCATATAAAATTCGACATTAACAACACCTGCACAGGCATCATGCAACTCCGAATATATGCTATGTACCGGCGGACTAGGCGGATACTCGTGATATTGGTCTTTGCTTTCTTCAGCGAGGTCCTGGCTGTCGTTGTAATCATCTGGAGAACCATCGGTCCAGCAAGCCAATTAGTTGGTACGTGCTGCAAAGAGACGTGGAGCCACACTTATTCACTAAACATCACCAGTCACCGACGAGTCTTCAAGCTTTCCTGGGAAGCACCTGTGCACCTTCTCCGGGATCAACACAGATTTCACCTATTTGTTCATACCCGTCTTTTGCTTCGAGTTATTGCTCTTCTTCTTGGCCATTAGAGTTTCCCTCAATAATATGAGAGAGAGGAAGGCCACCCCTGGTACCTCCAGCTTGCGTGTAAATTCATTCATGGGCATACTTGTGCGAGACAGCATTTTGTATTTCTTCATGTTAGCATCATCCTTTTTTCGTACGTTCCTAATCACCGGTTGATAACTGATTTATCTAGAAACCTGGCGATGTGCGTTATCGTCATGAGCCTGTGGCGGAATGCCGCTGTGAGATTTTTTATTGGGTCATTTTTGACGTATTGCTCACTGTTACTCATTGATACCTGCACGCAATCAGGCCCTACACGCAAATATATCTATCCCGTTCATCATGCTTGTCGAGACCATAATTGGCACTCGCATGGTAATCAACTTCAAGGAACATTGTTCTCGCCGGTCGACCTTGGAACCGATCATGATCACTGGGTCAATATACTTCGCGGGAGTCGGTGAAGAGTCTGCGCGCCAGGTTACGAATCATGACCAGTCGAACGAAGGTGACGAGGAGATGCAGCCGGTCAAGAGTGATGAAGAAAGTACTGAGATCATCACTTACGAAGAATTATAACTTTTGATTACTGCGATCCATATACATGTACCAATTTCTACAATGTTGGTCATACAGTACATGTACAAATCATCGAGTCCATACGACCGGTGTAAATGCAATATAAGGTACTGGATATTACGATGCGAACTATTGCTGTCCGCGCTCGACACTGACGCTCAATCAGTATCTGAGCCTGAGTCTGAATTAGGCAAAGGGAGGTGCAATAGCGGGAGTCATCGCTGCGATTCTCTCAGCCTGGGCACTGTATCAGCCAAAAACATTATCCAGAACCTTCTTCGTGGGCCTTTGTGGTTCTTGTACTTGCTTCAGAGCACATTAGCGAACAGAATCTCGTTTGATCGAGATGCCACTGCGCCCACTTCGTCACGGTTTATATGAAATATCAGGTTAGCCTAGAAGCATATCGATATCATGATAGACGGGAATACAAATAGAAAGTCAAAAAAAGACTAATACAAAATTTGTACAAAGGCCATTGCACTACAGTCTAGTTACCCTAGTGTCACCGTCAACTAAAAAAGAAACTGAGTGCTATTGTAGAATGAAACTTTGAAATGAGCTCCCTCCAACTTCGGACGAGGAAAGGGAAAGACGGTCTTCTCGTATGAGCAGGTCATCTAGATATAAGATTGAACGGGGAATAGTTGTGACCATTGTAAAACACCAATATGCCAAGTGTAATGGGTTCAGTAGACGCCAGGTATCAGTCGATACCTGACTGCCTTCGCCCATCTCGTCCACTCGTCTCTGAAAGCAGATTTCAGTGCTTCATCTTCTTCGTTGACCCTAAACACGATGTTGATCATAAGAAGTGTAATCAGCGCCAGCCATGCCACCACAGCTAATTTGAGTCCGAAAAAATCTAAAACTCCGGAGCTTCTAAGCCACGAAGTGGGCGATCCGTGCAGTATTATCATGCCAGTGATCTGTATAATACCCGATGTGTATGATGGATGGCGTATGACAGCGTATGGTCCGGTCGTGACAATATGATGTTCTTTGCGGACACTGAGTTGGAATGTGAAAAAGCGGCCGAGGGTGCGAAAACACCACCAGCGTATGAGACCCCCTACGACAGCAAGTGTGGTGCCCAAGATGAGAGGGAAAGTAATGGGTGTGTCATGAATCCCGTGACCGACCGCGTGTTGTGCAATGGCCTGTATGAAGGACAGAGAGTCCGTCGTGTGAGACACAATTGTAACGATCTCTGCGAAAGAAACAGCCCAGTAAATTGCCTGGCGCATCGTTCTGTAAAAATGATTGTGGATAGGCAAACAAAACACTCACCTTCACAACTGGAAACCCGTATATAATAAGCCCAGTGAAGACCCACTCATTAAATGTTTGGGGAATAATCTCTTTACTCAAGGGGACGTTTGGGGGCGTGAACGTCACTTGCTGCGTGATAGCAGACGAGAGAATGAGTGGAACTTTGATAAGTGACGCCATATTCATAAGAGCAACTAACCTTTCAATGGTTGCGTTTTATTCATAAGTGTCTCGCCGAGGCTATACTCGATGGTTGAAGTATCTGCATGGTACAGAAGTGGCCATAAGCTATACATGTCAGCTCGTATTCTTGCATCTCAGCGTTGACATGCTCTAGCCGTCCATAATGTGGCGAAGGTCGGCATTCATACAAACAGTCATCACTTGCCTGTCATATAATGTCAGTCCATTTCAACCCTTCAACATTCAAACTTAACTTGCCATGTCAGAGAAGACAAACGGACTAAACCAGTTGTGAATAACTCAGAAGTATCATTAAACTGCTTGCCGACGACTGTCAGAAATAAACATCACCTTGCATCTAACGAGTAAAGGAGAAGGTAGTGGACAGTGTCGTGCCGCGTATCGCTTAGGGGTTGACTTATGCTCCATAATATGCGTTCTGGGCCTGATGATTGAATGAGGTCGCATTATATAGGAATGACTAGCATTACGTACTGTAAGAGTTGGACCATAGACATAGTCCACGAAACACCCGCATTGCAATCCAAAAAAGTGCAACTTCGCAAGCTACTTGCCTGACGTACATCCCTGAGAATGGTGGAGGTGAAGAACGAAGAGTTCAAACTAGTTTTCTCTAAAACAAACCGCCATCATTCCCTACTAGTACGGTCACTTCGTGAGTGCCCGCTACTTCGCACGGGAACTGATGAATCCAGCCAGGGGGTCGGCAGTTTATCACGTTTCATCGTCTGACAAACTCACTATACATCAAAAATGACTCACGAAGTCATGGTCACTCACAAAGCGATAGTAATGGACAATTGAAGGTCGTCATTTCTCCTTAGTCGTCTTCGTAAGCTACAGAACCCTATATCCTGTAGTGCAGCATTCCAAATCGGATCATGTTCATGACAAGCAAACATCTCATCTGTTTCTTCAACCTACCTAACTTGAGGTCCTTGACTCGTTGCAAAGATACGTCCATCTCGGAGCTGCGCTAGAAGGTTCAGACATGACGCTTGCTAGAAATTTCCATGACGAGGGTTTCATTTTGCGGTGCTTTTGGTATCGAAAAGCATAGTTACAGCGACGTGCACGATATCCGGTCCGTGACCGAGGTCGATACATCAGTAAAACCTCACTTTTATTTTTGGTGATGAATCCTAATTTATCCTTATTTTCTCACTTTAACCGGGTTTGAGGAGCCATTGGGGTGACATGAAAGAGACGGCGGAAAAATTGAGAAAAAGGCCACTCGCCCTCTGAATTCTACTTTATTGCTCTTAAAAGTCACTTACTAGGCATTGACCGACAAAAAAAGCAGTAATAATAGCGCAAACGGCGTCACATTGTCCAATACAAAGTTTGTCACTCTATTATGTAAAGAGGCACGAATGAAAAAATAGAGTAAGGTCTTCGAGCGAACAAGAGATGCGGCACCAAGCTTCTTGCTTCCGTGCCGCGATCACTGTTCGTCGCTGCATAGCTCACTCTGCTCGCTTTCTTTTCTTTCCACACCAGAAACCTTCCTTAAAATTTACACAATCTTATTCCTATCTAATTTCAAAATACAATGGCTCTAGTCGTCGACCCAAACCTCGAAATGGTACCAGATTTCGCTGGTAATCTGTACGCAGGCATTCGCGCAGACCTCGGAGCTGCCACAAACCAGACCGGAGAAGAAGTTGTAGCCCGTCTCACGGAGACATGGAACGCAGACCACAACGCAAGAGTAGCGGAATGGAACCAAGACCGAGAAGCAGAAGCTAGAGTCCTTGCAGAAGCAGAAAGGGCACGAACCGCGCAGGAGAATGAAGAGCGCACCCAGTGGGAAGCTGAAACAGAGAGGGAGCGGACAGAAGCTGAAAAGAAGAAGCCAAAGATGAACGGCTTTGAGCACGCATCATCCGTAGGAGATTACCTGACTCCCCGTCCCGCTCAATACGCAATTCAGAAACTCACCAATTTCGAATATGTAGAGCTATGGTACTTCTCGCCGGAAGGGTGCAAAGACGCCCTCAAGTCTTCACGCTCAGTGGCCGACAACGACATGAGCATAACGAGGACAGATGACCAACTCACGCTACGGCCCACCTCAGCGTTCAAAGCGTCGAAAGCGGCCATGGCCGACCATGAGTTATCATTCTCGATTTTCCTCCGAGCAAAGAACTTATTCCTCATTCAAATCAGCAAAGCCAAGTGGCCCCAACCAAACATCGACGCACTGTCGTTGTTCTTCTGGCACCTTGAGAACCACTCGATTCGAAACAACAGTGAAATCGGTGACATGGTGATCTTGACATACGCATCACGCGTACGTCAAGATTGGCACGACCGTCTCAAACGCGACGAGGGTTTCAACATTGGTAACATCAACGAGAACCTCATTCGGACAATCAACGAGGAGTTGTGGGATAAAGTTCGCTCTCGCACATGGAACATCGTACGTACCCAGTCTTAAATCGAGATCAAGCAGACCCGCTAATCCATGAACCTTTCTCCCCCTTCCAAATTCCACACACAATGAATAACATCCCCGTTTGACACGGATGCCCGCGATGTTGATCCCGCGGATGCCCGCGACGTTTTCCCGCGGATGCTCATACCCATTCGCATGGATGCCCGCACACTTGACGCGGATGCCCACAACCATAATGTGGATGCCCACAACTTGACGTGGATGCACACACCCACGTCACCGTGCAGCACTCGAGCAGAGAGACGCCCTCAAATCAATACCGGAAGTCCAGCTACCGGGACTTTCGTGGGGGCAACAATGACCAGCGCAACCACAACTCACGGTCGCGCTCTCCAGCACGAAGGTCAGACAACCAGAGAAGCAAACCGTCCTCACCAGACAAATCCCGCGACCGCCAACAAAGGCAAGGGGGTTTTTCTCGGGGCGCAGGCACCCGCGGTCGATCAGCCTGCGCCCTCTGTCTCGACCGCTTCGCTCACGACATCCAACGTTGCGAGTCTCGAACCACGTGGGACGGCACCAGCACTCACTGCCACCGGGCAGACGATGGACGCCTCATCAACCCTCAAGGCCTCCCTATATGCTACAAATGGCAGTGCCCAGGGAGCTGCCAGATATCAAACCACGAGGCCCCACACGAATGCTCAGGCTGTGGAAGCAAAGAGCACGGAGCTCAATCTTGCCCTCGCAGCGAGAAGAGCTAAGGCGCACACACCGTATAACCCAGAGAGTTGGCATCGCTTACTGGCAGAGTCGAATCTGCTCGATAAATATCCATCCATCACAGATGGACTTGTCTATGGTTTCTCTGGGGGCATACCCCCAATTACATGTACATACACGCCCTCTAATAGCACCTCTATCAACGAGCACGGAGAAGTCTTTCAGAAAATTGTTGAGTGTGAATTTTCAAAGGGCCGTTTCATTGGCCCATTCACAGCTAAGGATCTCAAATTGGCCATTGGAAATTTCCAAACGGCTCCATTGTCACTCGTTCCGAAACCTGGCAAACCAGGGAAATTTCGCCTTGTACAAAATCTATCTTATCCTATCAATCCTATTCCCCCTACTATTAGCTCTATTAATTCAAAGGTTGACTCCGACCTCTTTCCTTGCACATATGGGACCTTCTCAACCATCTGCCGAACAATATGGCACCTTCCCCCAGGCTCTCAAGGAGCCGTCCGTGATGTTTCCGAAGCCTACAGAACAATCCCGCTCCATCACTCCCAATGGCCAGGTCTGGCAATACGGCTGGATGAAGATGCATTCGCCATCGATACAGCATTCTGTTTCGGTTTCGGGCCATCAGCTGGCATATACGGCAATGTGGCTGATGCCGGTGCAGACATTTTCCGATCCAAAGGCATTGGCCCTCTGTCAAAATGGGTTGATGACCACCTATTTTTTCGAATCAAGAAGAAATACAGGGAGGAGTACAATAGGAAACGGAGACTATGGGCTGACGAAATCACAAAGAACGGAGGTATCATCACAAGTGGGGGACGTAGATGGTACAGGGGAGAAACTCTACCAGACGGATCACAAGAGGAATTCGATGAAGACGCTCATTTCCCCATCCAAGACCTCTCGGGCAGGTCACCACGTTCAGCCGAAGAGGCACAATTCACACACGGCATGGAGGACATCGACTTCTTTTCCGTCCTCATGGGGATCATCTGGGAGTTGTCGAAAGATAAACCATTCAGTAATGAACCTCCATACATCGGTCTGGTATGGGACATTGCCGAACGAACGGTTGCGTTGTCAAGCGAGAAACGCACCAAGTACCTTGAGGCCATCAGAATGTGGCAGTCCAAGAGGACCCATACTCTGCAGGAAGTCCAAAAACTCTACGGTAAACTCTTACATGCGTCGCTTATCACACCAGCTGGCCGCGCGTACCTTACGAACTTGGAAAAAATGCTGTGCATTTTCAAAGACCGCCCACACATGGCCAGAACTCCCCCTCGCAACACCCCAGACGACATTGAGTGGTGGAAAAGCACCCTCAGCTCCACCCATGTCACCCGTCCAATCCCAGGACCATGTGTTGTATTTGACTTCAACGCCTATTCGGACGCTAGCTCTGGCTATGGGATCGGTATCATCATCAATGGCAAGTGGCGAGCTTGGAAACTCCTACCTGGTTGGAAGAGAGATGGTCGCGACATCGGGTGGGCAGAAAGTGTCGGATTTGAGCTCTTGGTGCAGGCAGTCGCAAGGTCTTGTCCCCCCGGAACTTATTTCAAAGTCTATGGCGACAACCGGGGAGTTGTGGAAGGATGGTGGAAAGGCTGCAGCAAAAGTCAGTCATGCAATGAGGTCTTCAAACGAATTCATCGGATTGCTGCCAATACCAAATGCAAGATTCTTACACGGTATGTACCAAGCAAAGAGAACCCCGCAGACGGCCCTTCGCGCGGAATATATCCCCCTGCATGTGACAAGCTCCCTCCCATCCCAATCCCGCCAGAACTACTCCCCTTCCTCGCAGAAGCCTCTGAATCCCCCCTTCCTCCTTCAAACAAACCAACCCGAAGCACCCGTGCCCACACCCATCCCATCGAACCGTTTCGCACAATGGGCGAGAGACACGGAGAGAGAGAATTCCAACGCCGAGATCGCGTCAACCGCAGATTCGAATCCGAAGGAGACAGGCTCTTCGAAGCGTCGGAAAGCTAGTAAGTGACACTACACAATCGAGAGCCTGACCTTAACCAGGGACACAGCCTATAATGCGAGCCTAACCCCCAACCCATGCCATCTACGCCCACACTGTCCCGCAAAAGACAGACTCTACCTATGGCAGCCAATAACGAAACGTTCGTCGAAAGACGCGCAAGGCAAACACCTCCCCTTGAGCGCTACCGACATAGAACGAATCTGGGACGTGATGGTTCACGCTTACGCAGAAAGCACTCGCGAAACTTATGGATCCGGGCTACTCATATTCCACGTATTTTGCGATAGCAAGACCATCCCAGAGGAGCAGAGAGCCCCAGCAAGCAACATATTGATTGAAACATTTATTTCGTGCATGGTCGGTAATTATTCAGGAAAAACGGTATCTAACTACATCAATGGAGTCCGCGCATGGCACATCGTGCATGGCGCAGACTGGTTACTCAACGACGCTGAAATAGACGCCATGCTGACAGCAGCTGTTTCTCTAACCCCCGTCAACGCCAGACGCAGCAAACGCGAACCATATACCACAGATCTCATCATTGCCATACGGGAGAAACTCAATTTAGATAATCCATTAGACGCCTCAGTTTTCGCCTGTCTCACCACCACCTTCTACGCTACGGCCAGAGTTGGAGAATTCACTGTCCCCCGTTTGAACGCTTTCGACCCGAACCTCCACGTCTCACCTAACTGCGTCAAAGACATGCGAGATCGACAGAACCTCGCAACCAAGAACTTCCATCTACCCCGAACAAAGTCTGCCCCAGAGGGCGAAGATGTTCACTGGGCCAAGCAAGCAGGCTTATCAGACCCAGAACAAGCCTTCTTGAACCACCTGCGAGTCAACGAACCCCCAATCAACTTCGCTCTTTTTGCATATCGGCACAAAGACAGCACCCACCGACCTCTCACGAAAACGAAATTTCTCAGCAGGCTAGCCTCTGCAACGAAAGCGGCAGGCCGCGAGCCTCTACAGGGACACGGAATCCGTATTGGTTCCACCTTAGAGTACTTGCTGCGAAATGTCCCTTTCGACGTCGTCAAAGTGAAGGGCCGGTGGGCGAGTGACGCGTTCCTCGCGTACCTAAGGAAACACGCTCAAATTATGGCACCGTACATGCAAGCTATCCCCACCTTGCACGACGAATTCCTTCGTTGTACCATACCACCAGTGCGCTAGGACGAAACTCAAAGACGAGAATCCTACACGTGAGTACCTCGTCCGCCTCCTACAATCTGGGAATCTAACTCAGTCTCGCTCGATGCGTCGCCGAACTCCTAGCACCTGGGAATCGCAGCTCGACTCTCCTAGGCTAAGTCCTTTTCCCCGGGGCCGGAAAGCGCTACGCGCCTTCGCCCGAAAACTCATCGCCAATCCTTACCTTCCCTGTTCACTTCTCATTTGTCTCATAGTCAGTAACCAATAATTCCCGTTCGTGCTCTTAAACCGCGTCGAAGTGAACCTCAAAGATTGTCACTCTATTATGTAAAGAGGCACGAATGAAAAAATAGAGTAAGGTCTTCGAGCGAACAAGAGATGCGGCACCAAGCTTCTTGCTTCCGTGCCGCGATCACTGTTCGTCGCTGCATAGCTCACTCTGCTCGCTTTCTTTTCCCCACCCTCCACTCCCTCTTTTCATCGATCCTGAAGCTCGATTCAACGCCTCGCTTCTCTCGAAAGAATACAACAACCCATTCGGGTCCTGAGGAAAGTTTTCAGCCAATCGAGCCATAGCGAGGCGATCCCACCCACCCTCGCAGCTCGACTCTCCTAGGCTAAGTCCTTTTCCCCGGGGCCGGAAAGCGCTACGCGCCTTCGCCCGAAAACTCATCGCCAATCCTTACCTTCCCTGTTCACTTCTCATTTGTCTCATAGTCAGTAACCAATAATTCCCGTTCGTGCTCTTAAACCGCGTCGAAGTGAACCTCAAAGAACAAAACATTGGTTAAAATGGAGTAAATGGCGACGTGAAGTGTGAAAAAGTGGTCAAAATAGGAAGAAAGGGCAGTGATTGTAAGAGCGAAAATGAATGTAAAACGAAAGAAAAGGACATTAAAGGATATGAAATGCGGATAATGAAAAACAAAACGAGCAAACCGGATAGTGCTGCTGCGGTCTGGTCCAGAACCATGGTTCGAACCGGACTTTTGGTCCGGTTCTCCGCGGTTCGGTCCATGGTTCTTGCGCCAGCTAGAACCGGACCGGAAAACGGTTCTCGGTTCTAGGTCTTCCCAAACGGTCCAGTTCTGGTTCGGCCTTCCCGAACCATTCCGAACCCTTATTGACTTCGACTTCGACAACATCTGCCTCGACATCAGACTGTCGTCTTCGGGATTCACGTTGTTGATTAATCAAGCTACATTTAGCCTTTTCGAAGGTAAGCACTAACTAATTAAACTCTCAAGTCTCTCACCAACTCACCTCTATAACAGGAGGTTCTGTTCATTGAGGACCGGCTACAACACTGCGCAAGACTACCTTTTACTGGAGGTGGATATATTAGGCGCGATCAAGGTGGATTTTGGAGGGATTGTGTCTTGCACTATGCTGCAGAGGTGCATATTATGATTTGTACTCTGAATGCTGATGGCTCCCTCGAGGGCCACATCAGGAAAACCCCAACTTACTTAATCTTGCTTAATCAACTTAGCCACATTTGTTTCCTCTCTCATGCATCATCTACCTAGTAAATTTTGTATTTTTTTAGTGTAACCTGTAACAAAATATGTATGCTAATATGACTGAACAACTTTTTCCTGAATATGTCAAATTTGAATTTCTAGCAAAGTAGGCTAAGTCACTAAGTACGACTTAAGTCTGTTTAAGGCAAGTTTAAGTAAGTTGGGGTTTTCCTGATGCAGCACTCATCGCTACCAGCGCACAACCCATCACACACCACGCTACCTGCGCCTATGTTGATGCCTGCCACCTCACCGCATCCCCTCTCACTCGCTTGCTGTTCTTGCCAGCTGACTTTTGCTGGCTGGCTCGCCGTGTCTCACTCACCCACTGTCTCTCGCTCACTGTCTCACATGCCCGCTGGCTGCTCTCGCCCACTGTCTCTCACCCTCTGTCTCTCGCCCGCTGTCTCTCACCCCGCTTTCAAACCAATATTCCGCGACGACTCGACAAGAGAACAGAGGGGATCCATAGGAACGGCAAAGACATGCACGCTAATCTACTGCCCACCCCCCTTCTCCTCCAGAAGACATGCCATTGAGCTGTGATATGCCTCGCCACTCTACCCCAACGCCACCCTCTCCACCCACATCTCAAACACGTCATCAAGCACCAAAACATATCCCGGCACCATTCATCACTCGACAACCTTCCAAATATACCCCAACGAGACCGCAAGCACACCACATACAAAGCCAAGGTCGTACATCGGGACTTGAATGAGCTTTCGCTAATATGCTCGAGTAAAAGTTGTGTCATTCACACAGCAGGGAAACTAACATTTTACCACCTTTTTCTGCCAGTGAAATCACATCCTAATGGCGGTTAACTGGCAGCTTACTTCAAATTGCTTGTCTGGATCAGACGCCGCAGGTTCACATTCCCCACGGTAAGCATTGGTTGTTATTGTGTTTTATTTCATTCTCACCATTTGTATAGATCAAATCAGTTAGCTCTTGGATCAGCGGCTACAGAGGCAGAGAGGGGTATGTAGCCATGTCATTGGAGTAGGTACTCAATGTGTAAACTAGTATTTCAATGTTTTTTTTTCATGCTCGCCGCTGAAAATTTTTGGGTTCGGTTCGAGTTCGGACCAGAAAAAAACTGAACCGGACCACAGAGAACCGTTCTCTGTGGTCCGGTTCGGGGTTTGAAGATTTTGCAGAACTGGACCATGGTCCGGTTCTCGGTTCTCGTCCAGGACCCTCTGAACCGGACCGAACCGGACCACGGCAGCACTAAAACCGGAGCGATGGTGGGATAGGCAAAATGCAATGGTTTGAAGACAGGCGCCGCACAATTGGAAACTTGCAGTGAGCAGTGCAGAAATGACATCTATAGAATGATATCAGCTCGTCAATAAAGGAAAAAAAGAATCAATCTTCATTACCACAGGATGGCGCGGATGTCAACGGCCTCTGAGCTGTCATCATCAGTGCGAAAGTACTTCTGGAGGCCGACACTGCCCGATTTCTTCAGCAATTTCCGAGCCGTTAATGTTGTGGTCCTCATGTAGTCGTCTCCTTTCGCCTCGATAGCAACCACGTATGACGCAGTTACTGATCCCCAGTTGTTGATGGAGAAGGCATTCTCGGTAGTGCTATCCTTGCTGGTGGCCTTGTTGAAAATCTTCGGTGTCCGCAGCTTGCGCTTCATTTGTGCGGGACCCGGATCTAGGGTGTCCACATCAATGTCAATGGCATTGACACGGAGACATTTGATGGCGCGCTCGAGCTGTAGAATTATCAGTAATGTTACTTGAATGTACAGAGTACTTACTGAAGCTGCACAAATGCCAATAACACCAGTCATCCCGACGACGGACAGCACATATGTTTTAAGTGCGGGGACTTCAACATGCCCAAGAATGGCGTGAAGATGAGCGGTTGCAAAGAGCTGCAACATGAATGGAGACCGGAAGGCTTGCATCAGGTCTAGGTTTTCCATGTCCTCATAAATGAAAGCGAAGTCCTCCAGAAGCGCGTCAGCAAGTGTTTCTGGATCAGTGTCAGCATTCCTAGTGAAAAAATCCATCATAATAGCCAGTCCCATTGATCCAAAATTGCTGCGCCACTCTGCGAGACGTTGGGTGGCCTGATTGAGATTGTAACCATTAGTAATAGTGACAGAAAAAAAATGCGACTTACAACGCCAAAGACAGACCCTTGAGTGGTCACCTTGTAATCAAGATCTGATTCTTCTGAATACACAACATCATAAATGGATTGGAGTGCCTCGACCAGAGGAGCGTCTAAGAATTGCCAGAGGTCATTTTGACTCCCGGCCCACAGGTAAAGTGTTGGGAGGAACTGCTTCGGCCACCGTTGATCTTGGCAATGAGGAGGGAGATGATAGTTTCGGTAGCTCGAGCGCGTCTTGTATTGCTTCTCAATCCAATAGCCAGGTGGGGCTGTGAGCGTTAGTTGCGCGGTGCTGGCATCAACGTCCTCTTCAATTTTCACCTTCTTTGCAGGTGGTTGCATCTTTGTGGTGGCCGACTGGGAGACGGCAACGGCAGTCTGTCAGAGAATATAAGTTGTGATAATCATCAATAAAATAAGCTTACCGAAGAGGTCAAACGCACAGCCGTCTTCATTGTATTGGCCATTGCGACAGGGCCTGAAGGGACATCAATAACCTCAACATCTGATGTATCCTCGTAGGGGGTACTCTCCAAGACGAGGGTGGAGGATTTGGTGTCTGCAAGCTTGCGCTTCTTACTCCGACGGAACAAGATTCCATCGCTTAGGCTGCTGTCACTGTCCACCACCTTGGACATCCTGGCATCTTTGCCCTCAAACAAATTGTCCTCCAGGTCCACCAATGCATCATCCAGGTCCATTGGTGCGTCGATATCAATATCCTGTAAGTCCTCTGTTGAAGACAGCGCATCTGAGTTAATCTATATAATTGGCTTTGTGCATTAGAATTAGAATTTATTACAAAACATCTAGTATGCACCCTAAGTGAAGACTGCTTCCCCTTCGTCTTTTGAATGAAGGCATCCAAACGTTCCTGAGAATCATCCGACTCATCATCAAAGCCGCCAACAAGAGCCTTGGGAGTGTCAGATGCATTAGCTAGAGCAGGGGGGGCCTTAGATTTGGAGGACTTGGTAGTTATGGCCAAAACTGATGTAGCGCAGGAACTGGATAAAGCACTGCTTGGTGGCCCATGCGCCAATGACAAAGCTGAGGCAGTGGTACGAGTCTTAGAAGCGCTGGAAGTTTTGAGTAGTTCGGTTGCGTCTGGTGAAATATCAGAAATCCAACCATCAACGCGCTTTATCAATGAAAACTTGGGGTTGGTCCTGAATTTTGAGGTCAAGTTAAGAAAAAAAAGAGTCGATTCAGTCAGCATCAACATCGTGGTTTTGATTGGAACAAAAAGACACACGTCACGGTAGAAGACTTTCCTTTCTTGTCACCAACACATGGCCCCTGAATTAACTCAACCTTTTCTGTGAGTGAGCCTCGTGCATTGTTGATTGCATCCTTCAGAGACGTTTTGACGGCCCTCTGGTTCTTCTTCTTTGTTCCGTCCTCAATGTTGGTGTCCTGGCTGCTTTCTTCTTGGTCCTCGATGTCGGTACCAGCCTTGGGTGAGTCAGTATTTATGATACTAGTAACACCAGCGCTTCCTGCTGCCAGGAGCTTCTTACTGGTTTGGCAGGCACTACTTTTTTCTTGACAGGGCGAGCACGGGGTTTGACTGGCTTTGGTTTAGTCGCCACGCCTTGTTCCTCTGCCTCCTCCATCTCCATCTGCATTGCAGCAAGCCGCTGCAGCCCCTCGACTGCAGCCTGCTCTTGAGCTTGGCGGGCTTCCTCAAGGATTTTGTCGTCCTCTGCTTTCTGGGCCTTGCTACGTCGCGGAACCCGTCCTTGCACTGGCAGGTCTGGCAAGCCCGGGTGTTTGAACTTATTGTCTCGGCGAGTGCGGATTCCCTCAGTGATATCGGACATAATTGCTGACAAGTAGCAGATTAAATGAGTGCTGCGGCAAGCTTGAGATGGGTGAAAAAAATGTCAAGGACAACGTGTAGTTGAAGTTTGACTGCAAATTTGTAAGTTCCTTACTTAAATCAACCCGAAACTTTAAAGGTTCAATTTGTCAGTCTAGTCATTTACAGCGTCCTTTGCAACTGGGTCCGCATGTGTACTGAATTGTCCTTAATTGACGTAAGTTTGCCGTCTTTCTTTTCAACTTTGCTGTTTGCTAGAGCTCTCACCTTTCAACGCGCAGATTTCCAAGCTAACATAGGCAATCCTTCCACCTTTGAACACACAGATTTCCTATTGGTGATTTTTCCTCTTTTCAATGTGCCAGAGCTACTAGTACTGACAATCCTTCACCTTTCAACGCGTGAACCGCCAGAACTAATACTGGCAGTCCTTCCGGTGTGCGAACCACCAGAGCTAATACTGGTAATCCTTCCGCCTTTCAACACGCAGATCTCTGATTGGTGAGTTTTCCACCTTTCAATGTACAAATTGCCAGAACTGAACATCATTCTAGTCTAGTATTGCTGCAATGCCTGATAACATTCCATGGAGTCAACTACGCCGTCGCGACCATAGTTCGCTCCAACTACCATGTAGAAGTTGTCCAAGGTGGTTCAAAACTATCGCCGGGCGAACAAAACATCGCATTTCAGCACATCCCATCCCGCCAGTACTACCTCAGGACAACCACCAACACTCTCCGGAACCCATCATACCAGAGCCCCGTCTGCCAAGCCCACAGCCTCATGTCAACCACAATATCGACATGGATGTGGATGAAGGATATGCCGACTTGGAGCACCAACATCAACCATCGCCTCAACCAAACGTTGATACGGAATTCATTGGGCCTGGGGATCACCTGTATCGAAACTATCATATGGGTCTCAATGGTAAGTTCATTCGCATGATTCTGTCACTGTGGCTGAATGTGATTACAGCCAGACCATGCAACACGGATGGTATATTCCTCCTCCCTGGCACTCCGCCCCCACCTTTGGAGAACGTAGCAACTGGCGACTGGACACCCTTTCGCAATCGTACAGAATTCGAAACGGCAGAGTTCCTGTATACGCAAAATCAGATGCCGGCAGGTCAAATCAACCGGTTGCTGGATTTATGGGTGTCTACCCTTGCAAAACATGGCAACAAGCCGCCATTCGCAGATCATCATGATCTGTACGATGTCATCGATAATTCACCATTTGGGGACATGAATTGGCAAAATTTTACAGTAACTTACGATGGTGAGAGACCTGAAGATGGTACCAAGCCATGGATGGACGACAAATACGAAGTCTGGTTTCGTGACCCACGTGAAGTCGTGCGCAATATGCTTGCAAATCCAACATACGCCAGTGAAGTAGACTACTGCCCCTATCGAGAATATTCAACCGAGGGCAACAAGCGCCAGTGGAAGGATTTTATGTCTGGTGACTGGGCATGGGATCAGGCAGTAAGTGCAGTCTTCATCCGGTAATGACTGCTAATTCTGTATGTAGGATGAAATAGCTAAGGACCCGAGCATGCTCGGCTCTACGTTTGTCCCTGTCATCCTTGGCAGTGACAAAACGACAGTTTCAGTCGGGACAGGTAATAATGAGTATTATCCGCTATATGCCTCAATTGGGAACATTCACAACAATGTTCGACGAGCCCATCGTGATGGAGTAGCAGTCATTGGCTTCCTTGCTATGCCGAAAAGTGTGTCGTGGTGCAGGCTTCTATGATAATGACTAACTGATTTTTACAGCTACAAAGGAACATGCTACCGAGGCAGTGTTCCGAAAATTCCATCGACAGCTGTTCCATTCGTCACTCTCCAAGATTCTCAACATGCTGAAACCAGGCATGACAACCCCCGAAGTCACTCGTTTTGGAGACGGTCACTACCGTCGGGTTATATACGGACTAGGGCCATACATAGCAGATTATGAGGAGCAAGCGCTGTTAGCATGTATCGTGCATGGTTGGTGCCCTAAGTACGTTTTTGTCATCTAGTATGTATCTTTGTATAAGTTACAATTTTTTTTGCAGATGTATGGCATCTCGTGAGGATCTCGACGAAGATGCGTTACGTCGTTGTCGCGAATACACAGAAGCACTCGTTCAAGAAGGTTCCTTAGGTGACCTGTGGGATGACTTTGGAATAGTCGGGGAACTTGTAGTATGTGAATCAGCGCACTCCTTGCAGCACCGTTCTTAATGATCTTATTTTAACAGGCATTTACGAACGACTTCCCCAGAGCTGACATCCATCAGATGATCTCACCGGATATTCTCCATCAACTCGTCAAAGGAGCATTCAAGGACCACCTCGTCGAATGGGTCGAGAAATACCTCAGACACACGCATACGAAACGAAAGGCAGATCAAATTATGGATGATATTGATTGCAGGTAAGCTTGACCACATTTAGACTACATAACATTACTCATTGTCTTAGAATTGCCGCTGTCGCCTCATTTTCAGGCTTGCAACGATTTCCTCAGGGACGTGGCTTCAAGCAATGGACAGGAGATGATTCGAAGGCCCTGATGAAGGTAATTCATCAATTTAGTCATGCTATGGTTGCAGAACTTATTAATTCTTCAGGTCTACTTGCCTGCCATCGAGGGTCATGTACCCGTAGATGTCGTGTGCACCTTTCGTGCACTTCTCGAATTTTGTTACCTAGTCCGTCGTAACATAATCACAGAAGACACTCTAGTCGAAATCGAAGATGCTCTCTCACGCTTTCACCATTACCGTAACATCTTCAGGATGACAGGAGTGGTTCCTACCTTTTCCCTACCTCGTCAACATTCACTCAAGCACTATGTCCAAAACATACGATTGTTTGCTGCACCGAACGGCCTCTGCTCATCGATTACTGAAAACAAGCACATCAAAGCGGTCAAGGAGCCATGGAGACGATCCAGCCGTTATAATGCACTTGGTCAAATACTTGTGACCAACCAACGGCTCGACAAACTTTCCGCAGCACGAGCTGACTTCACACGTCGGGGAATGTTAACTGGTACTTGCCTCTCAGTAACTATGGACGCCTTGGGTGGGTAAACAGTTCGTGAGATATCCTATATACTAATGTGCACAATAGTACCCGCACAGCAGATCAATGAACTTGATGAAAATGTGCCGGCACCAGCACCAGCACCAGCACCAGCACCTCTGCTGATCGGCATCAATGAGGACCTGGAAATTGATGATGGTCCAATGGTTCTACAAGCTTATGTCCAGCTGGCGAAAACACGCTGTAAGACTTCTTTTTCTTCCTTTTGAATGTCCTAATAAACTATGTACAGAGGGCAAAAAACGTGCTCAAACTATTCCTGCACTTGCCGAAGAACTCAATATTCCTAGTCTACCTGACCTCCTCAGACGCTTCTTATTCCAACAGTTGCATCCTAAAGATCCTCGCGACCCATCTAACATACCCCTCGCCAAATGTCCCCTCTATCTTAGCAAAATCTCGGTCTTCAATTCCGCATCATCACGATTCTATGCGCCGAGTGATTTGAGCGGGATCGGTGGTATGCATGTTGAACACATTTGTTCTTGCCCCATCTGGCGGAACGAGTACCAGCGCCATGACTGTGTTTTCATCAACACAGACTCCAGTTTGCCTGGCATGCAAGGCCTCGAAGTTGCCCGTGTTCGTGCATTTTTCTCATTCAGGTACCGGGGCAGGTTATATCCCTGCACTCTAATAAGCTGGTTCGACAAAGTTGGCGACGCCCCAGATGAAGATACAGGAATGTGGATAGTTCGTCCTGGATTTGGAGCAGACAGTGCTCCAGGGTACGCGGTCATTCATATTGACTCTATTTATCGTGCTGCGCATCTTATTCCCATGTATGGCGTGCAATTTGTGCCCCAGGAGCTCAAATTTTATCATTCATATGACGCATTTCAAGCCTACTATGTGAACAAATACGCTGATCACCACGCATTCGAGATTGCATTTTGACTTCACTTTGTTTTGGATACTAGCGTGTAGCTACTTAAACACAATTTGACTATATACTACTATTTTCGTTCTGAACATGCCTTATTTCCCTTTGCACCGACAATTTCACTTAGCCACTCTGTGGCGCCTTTGAGAAAATTCAGGACACCCAATTAACACTCCTTATATTCATTTTCGCGCCTTAGCGCTGGCGCCAAGGCAGGTAAAGTGAGATAATAGCAGAAAATAAAAGTGAGGTTTTACTGATGTAGCAATTCTGCAAGAAAAGAATATATATGAACTCCGTACTATCAACATAGAACTGGAGGATAAAAGAAGCTTATATTTGAGCAGTTGGGATCCTCAGTGGTCACAGGTATAGACATAGTCATTTCCCATGCTGAAACCGCCTCGGTGGTATCAAGGGGAGCCGGGAGCGATATACTACTCCATGAATATGGCCCGGCCACTGGGCTAAACTGCCACCCGAATATCCATTCGTGTGCTGGAAGAAGTAGTAACCATAACTGCCGCACCTAAGCGTGAACAGCACAGAATGTCGAATCCTCCATATTGTTATCGTTCTTGGATGCGACTCGGGATACCATTGAAGCAGTTAGTTCGGTCCAGTTCATCAGTGAATTCACGTGACATCGTAGTCGTGAGAACTATAGAAGCATGTGATTCTGCTCCTGCTATCTACACCGCGAAAAAATCGAATCGTCGGTACATGGCCATGGATGTATGCAAGTCTAGATCACAGCGAGGAGGTCCCGCGGTATTCGGACAGCTTTTTTGGAGTCAGTCATAATACTAGCGCAAGTACCAATGCTATTTCTTTCAGCTATCTCATATTGAACGTCATGCAGGTTGCTACTATATCCAAGTATTTTCCTGCTGATACTAGTACTCTCACCCATGACCACAGCATGATGAGCCGGTGGCATAGAAGCACTGCGATATTCTTCGTCGCCATTCAGCAATGTGTCCTGGTTTCCCGACTGGTCATCAGCACTCGACTAAGCTCGATTATGTATCGAACTCTAGAGTGACAGACCTCAACGCTGTGGCAGTCGCATATAACCCCGATGCAAATACTTATGCTCCGCCTGTTTTGGATGAACTGCGAAAACAAATTTATTATTTTGCTTGCCAACACAACGCATATTGCTCATAACAAAACTACATCGGCGTCGCTGAGTCCCAGCTGTTTTACTTCAAACTGTCTATTCTGTAGGGTCCGAGCCAACCTCTATCTGGATGGGGGAAATGACCTGGATACTAATATCATGATGCATAGCCTACAATGCGGTCACATCAGACCATTGCTATATTCAAACAAAGAACGCATACCCGTGTCACAGTAAGCCGATCCAGTTCCAAGAATATACGGGAGCCAGCTGCCGGAAATGGCGTACGACAGACCGTTGCTATGTATGCACGATCCGATAAGATGTCTTCACCAAAGGAGTCAATCATCCGACCCGGCTTGCAAATGCGAAGATCTGGTGAGTCAGGATCGCTGACACTTTCCGAACGAGCAATGACTCGCTTATTGAAGTCCCAGATATGCACATAGAAGTAACCCTCGCTGGAGAGCCCTTCCAGTCTTTGACCAGGGTTCGGGATATGATCCTGGGGAAGAGCATAGGCCATTTTGCTGCCAAACACGCTGATATGGTAGCTTTCGTGGTGCGGAAAGTAGTACGCATACTGAGGTCCCCAATCTGACCAGGGAATCTCGACAAGCATATCTGAGCGCAGGGCCATGTCAGAGAAGATGGCCATATCGATGACTAGGATAGCTTTCCCCGCATTGGGAAGAAACTCTAAAACCATAATCTGTGACTCCAGGGAGGGCACATAACTCGGCATGAGTCCTGAGCGTGCTGCTTTGCCATGCAGTGATGGGTGGCCATGAACCCTGACCTGCCAGTTGTACAATGATAGATGGAAGATCTTGGGAAGGTGATATATGATTCGGCACTGAGGCGACCCATTGAGACCTTGTAACGTGTACAAGTATATCGAGCCTTGTGGGCCAATGATGACAAGCTTCTGTTCATCAACTAGATAGAAAAGATCTAACTCGCAGATATCCAGTTGACATAAAAAATGCTGCTTATGCTGAGTAGAAGAATTTTCACAAACAGAGGGAACTTACCTTATTCATGTATCCCTTCCTCCAATTGATCACTTGTATGAACATGCCGGACACAGGCTTAGGATCGCAGCAATCCGCGTCCTCTATGTAATAGAGGATAAGTACGCGATCACCACAGATTACAGGTGGTGACAAAGCAGCACGATAATCGCCAGGTGCATCAAAGGTATGCTTGCACTCCAAGGAACTGCACTCGGCACTCGGATGTGGACGCTGGGATGAAGCCAGTCGGAACTCCACCCAACAGACATGGTAATCTTGTTTTGCATCGGTCACAGCGACATAATAATCATGCTCAGAACACACAACCATAAGATCCTGCAGAGGGTCGAAGGTAGTAAGAAAGCCCTCGACATCACCGATAGACCATGTCCGGGAGAGTGTAGGATTCGGGTCGCAACCCTGAATGTAGAATCTATTTTCGCCCAGCGAGTGTGACCACCAAAGCCCACATTTCACATCTTGGATCGGTAACATGCGTCCCCATGTGGCAGTAGTAGTGACCACTGTTTCAAAGGTAGTAGTCGCATGGAAGTCAGATCGCCACAAAGTTGCCAATTTCTTGAGAGTCTTTCTGGAAATACCGGTCGAATTCGTGGTAGCGGTCTCAGTACTAATCAAGCCTTGAGCATAAATTTCAAGCTTGTATTGAATGTAGACAGAAGTCCGGACTGCAAGCCAAAAGATATTGCACGTCTAGTATGATCACACGTTAGCCTTGGAAGAAATTGTGAAACTACGGGGAATAGCGAACCATTGCACAGTGAATAATATCCCTGGGGTTAGGAAGGATTAGAATGTGACATATGAGCTCTGTAGGAAGTGACAAGAATCCGACCGCCATAGTCATGGTTGTAGGATTAAAGAGAGGACTGAGTCGAATCTGAAATTTTTAGGAGGCCTCTCCTCTCAGAATCTATCGATGACGCCACTGGAACCTTGAGGGGAAAATCGCATCGAAGGCAACAGGAGCAACAAAACAAAAATCTAAAAACAAGCGAGCTCGTCATCAGCTACTAAGCACCTACAAGTTGGCCTGAGTATAAGTTAGTACAGGCCCGATATATGCCTCCTGTGGCAAGGCACAGAATTCCATCAAGCACGTCCATTACCCCCGCGCAATTGAGTAAGCAGCCCTGAAATTTGAAAGCTTATTGGGTCAGACTGTGTTCACTCCCAGGATGGGAGACACCTTGCATATGGCGGATACGACGCTTCGTAGATGGTCTCATACATAGCTCGGACCTGATCCTCCAGTACGTGCTAGCCATATTTCAAGTTGACTACTTAGCATGTCACGACTAGGTTTTCCTCCAATATCGCCAACACAACCATCACATGTCGAAGCTATGTCAAAGCCTCGTGGGGAGTGGTGATCGATTGGTCGAGGAGATCCATGCAGTGGCGATTTTTTCAGGTAAACTTTGCACTTTATCCTGCAAAGGGCACAAATGTTAACTATAAGTAGTCTTCCAAGTCTTATCACACTTCCGCGCTGTCTGTACTTTCTTATCTTTTTAGGCGCCCGTCCTCAGCTAATTTCTTTTAAAACTTCCACCTCTAGGCATAGCCCTGCAGCAATTGGGACCATTTCGCTGCAACAACACCCCAGGCTCAGTTTCTTCGCATGGCACACAGGCCCGCACCAGTCTCTGCCTGAAAACAACAACAGGTAAGTGGTATATTAGGTGCTCCTCGTTCTGCCATATGCATAACCGAATCTCCAGAAGGTGTCTATATAGCGTGTGTCCCTTGTGAAAGCTAACGCTCAGACCAGTCAGTCGTCCTCAGGCCTCAGGAACAACTCCACCTGCGACGCAACCACACTCGACGCCACAGCCTCCGCTTCAGGCATAGACGACGACCCAATAACCTGCTCAACAAGAAAAACATGGTTCTTTTGCATCCCACGCCACTATCCTCTCTCTGCCTCTGCTACTCAGCCTGCTCCCTCGTTATTCTAGCGTGCGTTTATTCACCAACACGTTTATGTTGATCGAGGACATATGCCTTCGCGACCGATCGCACATAGTCGTCATTCGACATTGTCATGACTTATACATTCTATATAATGTTGAATTTCAGTCTCAAATCTGTCGTCCATCTCTTCTCGATTCGGTTCCCGTCGTTTCCTACGGAGCTCATCTGCTACATCTTACCCTCAGGAACGATTGTCGTTGTGCAATGGTTCTCCATTTTCTGCAGGGACACGTTGCTGATATTTCTTCTGACAGCGTTGACACTCCCGTCAGAAATGTCATAATGAAGGTACGTACACTTCGAGTGTACAAGTCTATTCGGAGTCTCCCTCAAACGAATGGCCTACAGAGTTTTTCCTAATTGACCCACTGGCAGCTAAGAACCAACGACCCAGATGAATTTCCGAACGCAGTTTGTCATCGTCACATTCTGTCCAGAGTATCAGCCTTTCTTCATTCTTATTGGAGACTCAGGTCGGCGGTGGTCCATGTCTCGAGAGCATTATCATTAAATTTTGGCGTATTCACAGTGAAGCTTTGCACTGGGCCAAGGCCATGACGCGTTAAATATGAGATTCGAATTGATCCTCAAATGTCAAATGATGACAGTGCAAGCAGATTGATCATGCGTAAGATTGTCCCAACAGGAGTGGTATATGCTAGTTCAATGTCAATGCAAATGATGATGATAAGAAAGTCGAAATTGAATCGAAGAAATGCAAAATCCAACATTTCTACTGTATGCAAGCATATCCGTTAGCGTCTTCGACCAACACGGAAAAAAACTTCGAGCGCTATCGTGGAATTTAAAAAAAAGTCAGAGAACCAAAGAGCGACTAAGTGGAACGTCTCAATATATATGCAAGTGAAAATCAAAAAAAAAGGATGGACGTCATAAAAATCATCATACGACATGTTATCGGGCGTTCTTCCAGCTCGATGGGGGAGCGGCTTTTCGTCCGGGATTCTTACCAGGCGTCTGTAGTTGCAAATTCGAAGGTTGAGAAGCTCCAGTCTTGGCACGTTGTCTGGGACCTCCTCCATAGGCACTCGCAGCACTGTTTGGGACGCCTTGCCCAGCCGACATGTAGCTCGAACGGGAGGACATTGATGGGCCAAACGACTCCCCATACACACTCCTCGACCCTCCTCCGAACTCACTCTGCGTACCGCTGATCCGACCAGGGAACATGACGGAGCCTGTGGACCACTGATTCGGCATCATACCAGGCATGCTCATCCCAGGGACGCCCAGCATGCTCATCCCACTCCCGCCTCCTCCCATCCCACTGTACACGCTACCTCCACCGCCTCCATACACAGACCCGCCGCCGATATTGGACCCTCGTTCCCACTCCTCTCCAGCTAATGTCATCGCATGTTGAGCCACTGCCATTTGGTACGCTTGCTTCGCGATCATCATCGCACGCTGGTGAGCAACGAAGAAGCTCTGGTCGGGGCTGAGCTGAGGAGCAATCATAGGTCCCATACCTGTCGGCATGGGCTGCTGCCACGCCCCCCACGCAGGAGCGTTCATCCCAGGCATCGTGCCATCCATGCCCATCGTAGGATTAATGCTCATCCGCTGGCCATGCTGAGGTACAAGATCATCGTCAGAACCATTATGCACAATGGGTCCACGACCATTAACAATTTTCCCGAACTACGACCAAAAGTCAGAACGACGATCAACAATCATAAAGAGAACACAAACCTCAATAGCAGACCTCGCTTCACTCCGTCTCCTCTCATTCCGTTTCTCCTCATCAGCAGCATCATTCTTCACCCTCTCACGACCACGCGGCGGATCATCCTTAAAGCTCACAGTCGACTGCTTTGCATTCGGCCCGCGCGCCTTGAGCGTCAAGTCCACATCGCTTTCATCCCTCCGCCCAGCGTTCATCCCAATATCACTACCATCACGAGGAGTGAACGGCGCACCAAGACCACTGCTAGAGTCACCTGTTGAGCTGCCGGCGGGGCTATCGCCTCGTAAAGAACTATTACTGGCGAAGGGGCGGGAGGGCATGAGTGACTGCGATTGCAACCTGGATGGCTGTGGTACTGCGGGCATGCTAGGTCTTGAGGAAGGGGAGACAAGCGTGCCTGACGGCGGTTGAGACATTCTGCTATCCATCACACTTGCCGGGCGTGTCTTGTATAAATCCTTCGAAGACTCCCAACTAGCTTTCACAGACGGTGAATCGGGCCACAGCGGTGATGAGAGGGACAGGTGGGACACGAGAAGAGCGTGAGGACCGAGAAGTTGAGACGATGGATGAAGCATCTGACTTGTCAGTTGATGGTACATTGTGCTGCTGAGCTAGGATACCTGCACGAGAACGAGGAGCGAATGAAGACTTGATAGGAGAAGGAGATCGTTGTGGGGAAGAAGACCTTTTGGAGACAGCGGAGAACGTTGTTGTCGGCGAAACTGGTGATACTGCCTGAGAGAGATCAGTGGTATATCGACGCGGAGGGCGTGAGGTGACGCTGAAAGAAGCTGGTGGTTTATACTCTCTGACAGGCGTTGGCACGATGCGGTCGTCACGAGGGGATTCTGATTTATCATCAGTACCTGGCAAACGTTCGACATGTGGTGAAGTGGTGTTCAGGGGCGGCACTTGTTGGGATGGTTGTGTAGGCGACTGTGAGGAATCTCGTGATTGATCAAAGGAAGTAACGAGTCTGATGGCGTCTATCAAATCATCATCAACCTCGGTTGGTGAAGAGGATGCCCGAGGGATAGACCCAACATCACTGCTTGACTTCTTATGGCGAGTAGGGGAAGAAATCTTAGGAGCTGGGCCCGAAGGCGAACGGGGAGTAATTACCGGAGCAGGACTCTCAGCCAAGCGACTCGGCATTAAGCTGATGACAGGGGGAGGAGCAAAGGGCTCGTCCCTGTCCACTTCACGTTCCTTACCCTTTGTAGACACTTTTTTCACTGAATGCTCGTGCCTCAGTACAGGCGTGAGCATCGGAGGACTTCCTACGAGTGATTTGATATCAATCAGGGGCTTCGCGGGCATCCGAGGCCGCGAGCCAACGGATCTGTTGGTGGATATGGATGCAGAACTTCCCGGTCTGCGTGGTGCAACGAGCGCGGACAGAGGCATGTCTTCAGAATCATTATCCGAATCTGACGAAGTATCCGAGTCATCATCCTTCGCTACCCTTGGTGACAAAGGCAATGGCAAAGATTTCTCTAAGGCCGAAAGGCATGTTAGAAACAAGAACAAACTTTAATAACTTGTGTGCTTGCCTGATGATGCAGCAGAAGCGTTTGCAGCAGCTAAAGTCGACGCACGACGGGCAGCAGCGTTGGGTGTGAGAGCGCTAGTGGAGGCAGATGCTCTCGCTCGCACGGCAGCCATATTGTCAGGCTGCCGTAACTGCACATTGTCCGATTTTGACCATTTCGGAGGATCTGGCCGTTGAGTCTGAGCGTCTGATGCATGCCCCGCATCGGACCGCGAGCGCGGACCAGGGCGAGGAGTCACAGTACGCTTGCGACTAGGCTTGACAGGCACACCATCACTATCCACTTCTTCATCATAATCATCCGACTCTGAAGTACTAGTGTCCAAAACGGACGAAGTCCGGTTAGCGGAGATGGGTAGCGGGGGCGCACTCGAATTACGATTAAATGGTAGGTGATGTTCACTTCCAGTAGGCGTTGAAACCGTAGAGGCCCGCTGTCTCGATATATTTTCAACACGAAGGGTATCGAGGGAAGAAGGCAGTCGGAATGAAGGTACAGGGGAATTTGCACGGCTACGGCGTTGTGCTTCACGAAATGCTGCAACAGATATCTTTTGAGAGGATTCTGAAGCAACACTGTCCCCGCGCGGCCGTGGCCTGGCCGGAGGAAGCGGAAGTTCGGTATCTGAAACATCAGCTAGAGAAGGAGGGGACTCGGAACGAATGTGGCGGAAAGCTTTCAAACTAAAGTTATCCTTCGGCGAGGGACTTGGAGTGGGAGGAGCTGCAATAGTTGCTGGTGGCAGGGCAGGTCTCGATTTAGTACGCTCTCTAGCCCACGAGAACAACCCGCCAGATTTTTTTACATTAGGTGGCGTCGTCGAAGAAGACGGAGGTGCACTGTGTATCTCATTCCGTGCGACGGAAGGGGTATCAAGGGGAGATTGACGGCGCGTGTTTTCATGAGGAAGCGAATGTGTGGAATTAATGCTGGGATCGTGATATATTCCAAAGGACAGTTTTGGTGGGGGAGGCGAGATGTCGTGACCTGATTCAGAGGCCACACCAGATATATGTGCGCGTGGCGGGCTATCGTTGAGAGAAAAGACGCTTGTGGAAGTGCCTGCGACATGTGGCTGATGTACATGTCTCCGACGGAATGGCAACTTTAGCTTGCTCGACGATGCTGCTGCTTGACCGGCATAAGCTGCGGCCGGAAGAAACTTTAGAGACTTGTCTGGAAAGACATAATCTGGTTCTGAAGTGGTTAGGGTGCCGCTAGAAATGGACACTCTGGAAGTCGGAGTCGTTGGGACGTTTAAATTGGATGATGCACTGCGAGGACCAGATTGTTTATCCCGTTTAGCAAATATTCCTGGAAGCAATGGCATGAAGAGGGTCAGCAGCAGAAAAGCAGTCCGGGTGATGAATGAAAGAGAGAACAAGAAATGATGTTCGTGATGCCGGGTATGACCAGTGAACAGGGATTGTTTGACTTTATTTGCTTATTCCCCCATTTAGAATGCAAAGTAAAATTGGAACCGACTTGCGACAGCCTGCGATGCGAACTCGGACGACGAGCTACAAGGCACAAGGGGCAACAGAACGGCAATAGGCTACCATACATTAACCGAAACCGCCTAGATTTATCGCCTTGCATACGCATTGATACAGGTTTGTTTCATCCAAGTACCGCGTACGAATCAAAAAATAGAATCAACTCGGTACTCTCACAGTCACAGTTCCCAACGAATTACAGCGGCAGATCCTCCCCGGCCACCCGTCCCCGCATTCATATACAATCATCCCAATAGCGCTCTTGATTCGCTTTGTATAAACTTACGAAGCTCGATGCGTAGCCGCGGCAGAAGAGAACACGCGAAGTAGTCGTTTTTTGATATGACGCAACTGTGCTAGGTAATTGCATCGACACACGTTCCTTCCCGTGACGGCGAACTTCCTTTCGCACCAATGGGATTGCTCTTATCTTGGCGGCGCATCTGTTTCACGTTTGTGCGAGCTGATTTTCATAAGCGTGATGCGGCCTCGCTGAAAGTGTATGGTAAGCCAAGTCAAAGTTGGTTGTAATAATAATAATAATACATGATGTAAACTTATACGTTTGATTTCCCCATATCATAACCAGACGATCCCTTCCATATAATTACAACGCAAATGATTGTCTCTTGTCTAGTAAGTTGCCTTTAAGCAGCGGCTTCGCATCCCGTCATGTATGAACCCATTAATTTCTATCCGCAACAGACGGAACAATCAGTGATGTGCACGACATCAAACATGAGGTGCTCACGTGCAGACTCAGTCCATCCACACCCGTGGCGTGCCCAACCTTCTTTCCGTCCTTGAACACCATATAAGTAGGGACCTGTGATATTCCTCGGTTTCAATTGACTCCACAAAGGTGTCATGTTAAAAATACATACAACGCGTACATCAGCTTCCATCACCACATCTTCTAGTTCATCCACATTTACGCGATAGAAATCCACGCCGATGCGAACGAATGTGTCAGAGAGTTCAGAAAACTGCTGAGAGGTCGACCGGCACAATCCGCTCCAGTCTGCATGGAAATCTATCAGTACGGTTTTACCGCTGTTGATCTGGGAGCAGTGAGCAAGGGGTTGAGGAATCCATCGAATACTTAGGTACTCACAATTCTAGTGAAGTCTTGAGCATCGTCTATGGGGTTGAAAGGCATATTGTGACTTTGGTCCAAGTGTAATGAGAATGTATGTATTATATATATCACGGAGATGAGTGAGACAAGGGTCTGACAGAAATTGACGTGAAAACAAACAAAAGGGGGCTAATCAAAGTACAAAGAGGATTGTCGAAGAGGATATAGTATATATGTCAAGCGATGGGAATGTACACTGGAGAATCAGGTGAAGAACTTTATTTCAACGATGCATGACGCGCCGTGACGTCGACGCCCCTTTCGAGTTGTAGCTGGCGGTTTGCCTGCACGCCAGTAAATCAATTTGTGATAAGATAACGAATTGGGGTACTGAGTATTACTTTATCCGGAGGTCTGGACAAAACCTCTCAGTAATCACAAAGGTGGGTAATGAAACGCACATCAAGATCAACTTGACACTCCGATTCTGAGACCCACCATCAAGGGATATCTGATAAGTACAAGGCGACAATGAGAGCCCATTGTCCATAGATTGTCAGCTGCTACTCGCGGATACAATTTCAGCTCGATCCCAAGTACAATGATTCCGATCATCCACTCTGTCTTAAGTTCGACTTTTGCAGAGACGATTTGTGTTGAGTTTTTGGAAGTGGGGCGCCGGGATGGCAGTCTGCTTAGAAATCAGTGATGGTTTTTTTTTGAAATAAATGTCAACCCATATCAATGATGACAATGATAAGTGTGCCTACGAGTTCTTGCTACTTGGTACTGCTCAGCAGGTTTGATAACGGTGACCGAATCCTTTGCCATGCTCTTAAAAATAAGGAGTCTAAGCAGGTTTTGTAGGATATTTTACACGACTACCTAATGGATCAATGAAGCTCATGCCATATATCTCGTAGTATCATTCAGCGAAATACTCGGTATGAGCTTGATTGATCGCGCTGAGGAAACGACTGGGTATGGTGAACCTGTTTTCAAGTATCGACAACCGGTGATGGATCGATCGATGTTTCATGTGCAGATCATCAGCTGAATTAACGAGTAAGTGGTGGAGGAAGTGTTTCAAGTCTGAAGAAGAAATCATCGGAAAAGTTTGCTTTGCTAATTGCCTTTTTAGGTTAAGTGGTGCTATGTCGAGATTGCTGTGTCATTGGACGTCGTTGTCATTGACAGCGTCAACGTCGGTAAGTAACTTAATATTCCGCAGTCGGGATCGCCTGCGTCGTTGGGCTCAACCATCAATTGCGCCGTGTTTTGACATCGCTAGCTCCTATTAGACTATGGCACCCAACTTTTTTGCAAAGCTTGTGAAGCCTAGTACGCAAAGTTCATCTCCGAGCGGAAGAGAGAGCACGACTGCTTCACCGCGTCAATCCAATATTCCAGCGCGCCCACATTCTCAGTTAATATCACACCCTCCTTCATCACTTCCCGACCCAGCCAATGACAATTCTAGTACAAAAGGGAGTGTCAAAATTGGTATAATTCCACCTTCCCCTCGTTCAGCCCTTCTTACTTTTCCTTATCTTCCTTCGCAAGACCACCATCCTGATACATCTCAACATCGACGTGCACGCTCGCAGGACAGGATGGTCCCAGACAGACATGCTGTCTCGTTCGCTGCTCGTCCCATGGCAAGCGACTCTTCTTTGTCTACGGATGACATGCTTCCAACTCCAACCCCCTCTCGTTCTCGTCCTGAAGAATGGAAGACCAGTGCTGACAGCTCACCCAAATCCTCTCGCCAGCTCACACCTGCGTCATCCACTGGGAACCTGAAAGCCTTTGTAGACAAGCGTAGCACTACTCACCCTTCAAACACTCACAAAGTGGTCGATAGAATCCCCTCAAAGAAGTCACTACGCAGTAGAACACAGCCCCCAGCTCCGCTCGATTTCGATCAGAGTAACACTCGTTCCGATACGCACCGCCGAACTAGTCGCCACGAACACAATGCCGTCATAATTGAAAATGGCCTCGTGGACTCACCCACCACAATAAGCAATGCCCCCAAAAACTCCCATCATCAACAGGAGCTTTTACCTATCCTCACCGACACAGACGCAAGATCCATCCGCTCCGTAAACAGCTCAACCTCGAAGACATCAGGTTGGCGTCGTCCTTCACTCACTACTCCCACTCGCGGACAATCTGGCGTTGCTTCTTCTATGGTCGCTTCCATGACCAATACTGGTTCCCAAATGTCCCCTGTTATTCCGGTTTCCAATTCGGCATCAAAAAAAGTTACCAATGGAACAGTCAGGTCAAATGCCACTGCTGCTCGTTCTCCAGTGAGGCACACTGCTTCCGCTTCCGTGACGTCTATGCCCAATTCTATCGATGCCAACGCTCGCACGAGGCGTGCCTTGTCTGGTCGAGATGACTTTTCAGACGGTCAGCCAGACTCGTTTACTTCTAGCGGAGAGAGCGAGGCGTCGGACGACGAACTTGATATTAATGAAGACATTCCCGTCACGGGTTTTGCCGTTGCCAGCAGCAAGCGTAATGCAGACTTCCACGAGTTGTTCCCTAGTATTCCCGAAGGCGATTATCTCATTGAAGGTTTGTCACATTTCGACAATGTCAAACATCTGTTTCATGTCTTGTAGATTACGGGTGCGCATTACAGCGTGAGATCCTAATCCAAGGCCGGATATACATCTCAGAGAACCACATATGTTTCCATGCGAACATTTTCGGGTGGATCACTGACGTACGTTGCACACGCTTATGCATACTGGCAAGCTAAATGATACTCCACAGCTGTCAATCCCAATATACGAAATAACCGCTCTTGAGAAGAAGATGACGGCATTCGTCATTCCCAACGCCATCCAAATAACTACCCGACAGGCAAAATACACCTTCGCCTCGTTCCTCTCCCGCGATACGACGTATGACGTCATTGCCAATATCTGGCGACTTGCCCGTCCTGATGAGACTCTAAGCCAAACCGGCTCGTCCGCCAACATCATCACGCCCGCGAGCACTTCTGATGTTTCAGGTCCCCTTGTCACTAGCGGAGGCAAAGAAACGGCTCCTGTGACTAGCATTAACAAAGTCACGCACTGCGCATGCTCGAAAAATGGACAGCATCTTAATGAGATTGCCCTCGAAACTGTGTTACCTGGAACACCGGACAAGATTTATAACCTCATGTTTGCGAGTGGGTTTATCAAGGATTTTATGCGGGTGGATCAGAAGCTCATGGGTGGGTGGCGTCTCGCTCGACTGAATCAGTACTGATGCTCCCCAATCAGATGTGCAGATATCAGATTGGTCTCCCATAGGCGACAACTCGAAGCTTTTGGCACGGAATATGTCGTATATCAAGCCCCTGAACAATAGCGTAGGCCCGAAGCAAACAAAGTGCGAGATCCACGATGAAACGTTGACCTACGACTTTGATGACCATGTCGTGATGCTGACGACGACGAAGACGCCTGATGTTCCTAGCGGAGGTGTGTTCTCCGTCAAGACGAAGACATGCTTGATGTGGGCAAGCGCTATTTCAACACGGGTGGTCGTCACCACGCAGGTAGATTGGACTGGGAGAAGTTTCATCAAAGGTCTGCTATTCTTTCCTCCTACAAAATCTTATGCTCATGCTCGCGATACGCAAAGGTCTGATCGAAAAATCAGCAATAGACGGTCAAAAAGTATACCACTCCGACCTCGACAAAGCCATGCGGATGTACATCCAAGAACACCAATCCGAATTCATCCCAGCAGGCGTTGATCCAACAGCCGTAGCACCCGTCGAGCCTATCAGCCCCGTCATCGAACTCAATGACCTCAATCTCCTGAGTCGCTCCATGGGCATATCAGACGCAGAAGCCCGTAAAGCGCGTGAACACGAACGCAACAGACGTGGGCTCCAATGGGCGTATGAGACGTTTGACGGTGCCTATGGCGTTGCGAAGCGCTCTACGTTTGGAGCTTTGGAGCTTGTCAAGGAAGCTTGGGAGCAAAGCTCGTCGATGACGATTTTATATTTTGTCATCGTCATTCTTGTGTTCAGTAACCTGTGGACGTTGATGCTTGTGGGGCAAAGGGAGGAGGCAGGGAGGAGGAAGGAGGCGAAAAGGACTGAGGAGAGGGAGAAGTGGGTGCAGGATGTTGTCACTGGGCTTTGGGAGGAGATGGCTGTTGGGAGGGCGAGGGGTGGTGTCGGGTCTTCTGGTATTTTTGGAGTTGGTGGTGGTGGTGGTGGTGGTGGTGGTGGTGGTGGTGGTGGGTCGGTGCATTCGGGTCATGTGAATGGCGATTGGAGGTTGGAGTTGGATGCTATCAATACGACGTTGAATGATGTTGAGGAGCGGGTAAGACTCTTACGGGAGAGTCTGGATGCCCTGAATTGACTTATTGGAGGACAATACTCCTATGCCGCACATACTACACTTATTATTATCTTAGGCACTGCCGCACTGGCTAAATTTTGAATCGCTAACTGTGATGGACATTGACTCGCAGAGTTCGTTGATCGGACGGCGCGACGGCACCACTTACTCAGCTGTATCACGTAACAATTTCTCAATGCGCACCACTACTGCCGCCGAAAAAAATTATTTGGCAGCTCCGGCATGTCTGTTTCTGGTCTGTTTGCAGGGTTCTTGACTGTTTCGCGACCTTCATTAGCTCGGTCATGTCTTCCATTTACTGCAAAATCCTTGGCTTTTCGTGCTGATGTTACTTCTCTTATCCATGTCAACGATTCGAGTCCTGAATCGTCCGTATCGTTGTCTTTTCTGCACAGTTGCACAATGCATTGAATGTGCCGCGTTCTGTCACACCAATCATAATGGGGTAGTTGACGAATCGACTTTTGGTCCGGCGCGCATGCCGAACGTCGATGGTTGGTATCAGAATATTCTTGACAGACCTTTTATCTAATTACAGTACTAGTACTACTAGTGACAAAAGATTGATGCTAACTTGCGAGGTGTCATCCAGATCATGTAACTTAGCGACTAAACGGGAGTGAGTGCAAATGAATGTCATCTACGCTTATACTGATAGCCAGGAACTTCCAAGTCGCATGACGAGTCCTTGCATACTAAGCTAATTCAGCTTGCAATAGTTTCCCGGTATCAGCGGCGAAGCTTTTCAGACAGGGATTACTCGGTACCCTACATACATCACATGCAAGATGGAGGGTTACAAGTGCGTAATGATGATTTTTTCTTGCTAACCACCAAAGGCGACTCCGGGGCGATTGCGACACCTGAAACAACTACGTATCTACTTCTGATCCTAACTCGAATATAGGCATATATGCTGATGCGGAGTGCATACGTAAGTATTATGGAGAATTCTTTCCTTGCAAAATGACAGAGACTGATTGTGCAGAACATCTACTGACTTCGACGGGACCTGGACATCGCTCCTGTCACTATAACTAAATGCCAAAATTACCTCAAAGTGAAGTCCTCCGAGTTATCGAGCAAGCGCCATATCTAAACAATCCTCTAGCGCAGTTTCGTGGGTGTATATTTAGGTAAAACAGTGATATCTGCTTGCTAATATGATCCGACCTCGAATGCTGCGCTACATATTGTGGTGCTCTTACGCAGACCCATTTCGTAAGAAGAAACCTCGAAACCCTGGCTATATTTGACAATTTCTGGGCAATATAATGGGTACTTACGCAGTGGCCGTACGGGCATAAAAAGTAACCATTGAAAGGTTGATCGTTCTTCATGAACATGGCATCACTTCTTAAAGTTCCATTTATTCTCTCGTCTGCTATCACGCAACAGGTGACGTTGACACCTCCAAACATCGCCTCGAGTGAAGAGACCATTCCCCAAACGTTCAATGAGCGGGCGTTCACTCGGTTTATGATATATGGGTTTCCGATTATGAAAGTGAGTGTTATTACTGCTTGTCCACAACCATTTTATAGAGCAATACGCTAGACAGTCTACTGGATTGTTTCTTTCGCAGAGGTCGCTATCATTGCCTCTCAGACAGCAGACTCTTTGTCCGTTATACAAGCCATCGCACAACACGCGGCCGGTCACGGGATTCATGACACACCCATCACTTTCCCTTTCATCTTGGGCACCACACTTGCTGTCGCAGGGGGTCTCGTCCGTTGGTGGTGTTATCGCACCCTCGGTCGCTTTTTCACATTCGAACTCAGTGTTCGCAAAGGGCATCATATTGTCACGACCGGACCATACGCTGTCATACGCCATCCAGCATACACAGCAGGTCTCATGCAGCTGATTGGGATGGTAATACTACACGGATCGCCCAATTCGTGGCTTAGACACTCCGGAGTTCTAGATATTCCTGGACTCAAATTGGCTGTGATGTCATGGCTTGTGGGGGTGACGCTTCTTGCGATAGGCGCCGTGTTCAGGGTCAGCGAAGAAGATAAAGCACTGAAATCGGCTTTCGGGGATGAGTGGGCGAGATGGGCGAAGGCGGTTAGGTACCGACTGATACCTGGCATCTATTGACCCATTGCACTTGACATCATGGTGTTTTGTGATGGTTACAACTATTCAAATATTCACCGTCCAATCTTAGAACTAGACACGCTAGTGCGAGCTAAAACCATTGTTCCCTTCAGTCTGAAATTAGAAGAGATTTCATTCTACGATAACGCTCGGTTTCTTTTTTGGTTAACGGTGGTGAGACCTGCAATGGATTTTGTAGTCTTTTTTTCGATGTCGGCTTTCTATTTAATCGCGGACATCTGTTGTCATTCCAGGCTAACCTAAGGTTGGCAATACGTAGTTTATGATACACGAAGTAGTTGAAATCGACAGCGGTGAATCACGAATATTCCGACTTTCTTTCTTAGTTTTCCTCTAGAAGCATCGTCATGAGAGAAAGTTGAGGTCAACCAACCATAATCATTTGGCTATCAATGATATACCGTTGCAAGCGGAAGACCCTGTCATTGCGGGATGAGTTATTTAAAATGTTTGCATGTTGAGATGACTGCAACTGTTAGGCCCGTTGACGCTGGAACATACATTCCTTCATTGGCCTTGGCCGGGCACTCTCACCTCCCTTCATTTCCTTGCGCACAATCCCGGATTTCCCTTATCCTTGGTCATCGGCTCCGAGTATTGCTCAAAGTCGCGGGAAAACGTCGAATACGGAATCATCACATGATGCTGCGTTTGCCCCAACTCCAACACGGAGAAACACAACAGCTTAGTGGCCGACAAGAGCGTCCGGAGGAGTTCGTGGCGATTCTGCATAGGTGGAGAGAGGCTTTGAGACATCTGTTGCTGTAGGCACAAAGCCACGCTGTCGGAACCCAATAGAAAGTGGAGATTTCAGATGGGCCCAGGCGCGGCATGATACCTGGAAGGAGAGTTCCGCGTCCTTCAAATAACGTTTGGCAGGAATCTGCGAGATATGGTCAAGACTCAAGACCTTCCAGCTCGGGAAGGCCAGCAGCATGAGGAATTCCCAAAAAGTTCCACGGCCGTGGCAGACTAATTATTTCTGTGAATCAGCGTCAGTCGTGAGCCGTTCAAGTCCTTGTAATACCCTGCTCACCATCATGTCCGTCAAACCGATCACATCTCATAGCCAGTTCATTTCCATCGTAGGCACTTCATAGTCAGTGGCGTAGCACAATCACATTTAACACCACAGATTATGGAAGAGGGAAAGACTGTCATCGTAGATTTCGTATCCGAAAGGTGTCCTCATTGCAAAGCAATCGCCCCCACCTTTGATGAACTCGCAAACAAGTTCTCGTCAGACAAGATCGAATTTTACGTCATTGACGCCGAAAAAGTCGACGATGTCAGCTTCGAAGTTGGTGGCATAACGAGCGTAAATATCTGCACACAACCATCGTCTTATGCTGACCACTCATCTATATGGCTTCTCAGTATCCTACATTCATCGCATTTAAGGACAGTAATAAGATGGAGGAATCCACGTTTGGTGCTTCTCGCGAGAGGTTGCAGGTACGTTTGTAGTCTTTCGGTATTCGAATAGAAACTCATTTTTGCCCACTATCCCAGAAATTTGTGGAGAAATACTGTTCACCTTAACGCTACATATTTTTATCGGGGACCAAGGACAGTTCTGACAGTTCGGGAAACGACTTTCATTGATCGGTCGGACACGTTGATGACTTTACTATGTCTTACCTCCAGTGTCTACGATTCTACGATCTCTATGGAGTTTGTAGATGTACCTTTAAGGATTTCTCTAGGGTGCCAAAGACCGATTCTACGGAAGTTCGATGGGACATGGACATTGCGCCTGTAAGCTAGTAGGTCTTTCTCAAACTATCACTCGAGCTGTTCGTGGAATCTTCTCCTTGCACTTTCAATCAGTGTAGTATTGGATGTTGCGGGGAACTTACATGATTTACCGTATCCAGCTTTCGCACTCCTTCGAGCAACTTGCGAATCACGGAAACTTTCACACTTATAAAACTTCGGGCTTCACATCCTGCATTTGGTTAGAACTTACCTATTTTTCTTAGGAACGACTGTCTTCTGTAGGTCTTACCAGGAGACTGCCGATTCTGTTTGAGCTCAGTTGGAAAACGGAATCTATCCTTGTAAGCAGTGATAATGGAAACACCTCCAGTAAGCACTTGAATGCAGGTTCATCTTCGATTTTGCTATCTGGCATGTTGATCCACAAATTTGGCAATCTAGGGTGTTCAAATGACAAAATCGGATCTAGTGAGTTCCAAGTGGAGTCGGGGAACCATGTCCATGTACCTCAGCATGCGCGCAAGCGGACCATCGAGCGTGATAATCGTGCGAAACTAGTACCATTCCTTTCCATTATACATCTCGAAACCCTTTTAGCAAAGGAAACGGGGATTATCTGCTGCGTAGAGTCGGGGACCCTGGTCTGGCTTGGGCCTGGTGCGTGTACCAATGATAGGATGTAGGAATGATGACACAACGACACACACTCAGGCTCCACCCCGCACCCTGTTTCACTGACGCCCGCTTTCACAGTATGATACCGCCGCCGTTGGAGGAAGTCTAGCCCTCGATTGCACCCTGAGCGAGGTATGTATAAAAGCAGTCATTGAGAAGCTCGAGTGCCCTTCATAATTATGGAGTCCCTTCTCAAAGTTCCATTGATTCTCTCGTCTGCTATTGCGCTGCACGTATCGTTCACGACCGGAAATCTTCCTTCGAGTAAAGAGGTTGTTCGTCAAACGCTCAACGAGTGTATCTTCACTCTGCTCGTTAAATATGGGTTTCCGACCATAAAGGTAATTTATGTCGCCTGCCCACGAACATTTCATAGAACCATGCACCAGGCATTTTACTGGGTTGTTTCTTTCGCAGAAATTGCTACTATCGTCTATCATACAACAGACCCCAACTCTGTTTCCGCGATACAGGACACACCCATTACTTTCCTTTTTGTTTTCGGCACTACACTCGCCATCACGGGGGGTCTTATCCGTTGGTGGTGTTATCGCACCCTCGGTCGTTTTTTCACTTTCCAACTCAGTGTCCGTGAAGGGCAACACATTATAACGACCGGGCCATATGCGGTCATACGCCATCCAGCCTATACGGCAGGCCTGGCAGAGATCATAGGCCTATTAATCCTGCACGGATCGACCAATTCATGGCTTAGATACTCAGGGGTTTTGGCTATCCCTGGACTGAAAGTGATCGTGGTAGTATGGCTGGCGGAGATCACTCTTCTTATGATAAGCGTCGTGCTCAGGGTCAGTCACGAGGATGAAGTCCTGAAATCAGCTTTCAGAGACGAGTGGGAGGCGTGGGCAGAGGGAGTAAGGTACCGGCTGATACCTGGTGTTTACTAAACCCAAAGCGCATGGATCATGCTATCATCGTGCGACGAGAACCGTCTACAACTCTCCCCTATCAAAAGGAACGCTAATATTCCTTCGTCTATGAAGGGCCGTCTATGGGAGACCAGCTCTACAGTTACATGTCAGGTTACTCTTTTTTGAAACAAACCTTTTGTTGTCTTTACGGATGATCTTTTCTTGACTTGTACTAAATATTGTTCTTTGTTCTTCGTAGGACAAGATATGTTCTCCGTACGCACTTCATTCTACGTGTACAACCACTCCTTGTACGATCTGCCTCCTCCTTCGTGACAGCGTCCTTGTGTTTGGGATCATTTCACCTTAATCCTTCAATTGAAGACTGGGTGTCTTTCTTTCTCTTTCTTAGTCCGAGCCTTCTCGTTCGCAACACTTCGTTATCATACCATAATTCCCTTGCCCCAAAAGTGGACGAGCTTCATACTATGAAATACTGAAGAAATGTCAATAGTACGCAGACTGGCTACCCACTGCCGTCCTATTGATTGTTTCGAGCTTGGTTCCAGAGTCACAGAACTTCGATGTGTCAATATTCAGGTGTTGTCCGTCCATTAAGCGTAGTTCATCCCGGAGGACCAGATAATACTTCTGTGAGTGGATAGCTTCATTGATACTGTCATTTTGACCTGCTTTGTCGCTGTTCGTTATCTATGTTTTCCGATAGAATGGTGGTATCACAGATTACTGTGAATTAAGTTTGTGAATTTATATGAAGGTTATATGCGAATGCCATGGCGTTGAGCTCTGTCAGTCTGTCCGATACATAATCAAGCTGACAGAAATATTCTCGAGTACAGGTGACCAGTCGAGGAACCAGGACACACTGCTAGATGGCTAAAGGATATTGCAGTGCTTCTATACCACCGGCTCCCGTCGGTATCACCCTGTGGTTCATCATGCTCAGGCTGTGGTCATTGGTGAAAGTATCAACGGCAAAATGCTTAGATTCGTAGATACAGTAGCAACCTGTATGACGCTCAGTATGAGATAGCTGAAAATAACGGTGAATGTTTCATATGCAATTTACTTGAAGCGGAGGCTCAGCCTGTGGCGTCGAGTTTGGTGGAATTGCCGCTGAGGACGGCGACTGACCGGTCTGAGCGTTGGCTTTCACAAGGGACGCGCACCACGTAGACCTTCTGGAGAATCGGTTATGCATATGGCAGAATGAAAAGCACCTCATACACCACTTACCTGTTGTTCTCTTCCAGCGGAGACTGTTGCGGGCCTATCGGTAGTAGCGCCAGGGCCACGCAAGAGGTGCAAAAGAGTATCAAGGGGCGTGGTATTAATAGATGGTAGAGAGGTTGGGTCTGTTGGACCACTTTTCCGTGACATAGAAAGTGGGTCTCTGAGACCCTTTATTGGTACCGAAAAGTGATGCCTGAGGTGCGGACATCCTTACCAAGGCTCTCGCTCGCGGCCACTATTCCTCAAATTCAAACATGTTGCAAGCTTGCGCCTGGTGTCTCGCTGAGGGGGTGTGTTGACTATTGTTGATGTTAGATAACAATTTACCTTTTAGACATCGTATTACCTTCTTGTTCTTATCACCATCGACACCACATGCAGCGCACAACTTCTTGCTTCTTGACTATACGAGCTTTCCGCTAAACTCTTCGCCGGTTCATTACCTAAGCTCACTTTATCTTTCGTATAAAGCTCGTACTGGCTCGTAGCACACCTCAGAATTGTTCTACTATTCACACCCACAGCTATCACAACATCTCAAGCGGCTTACCCTTTCGTCAGCCATTGTGGTAATGTGCATACGTACGTTAACATAGAGGGACTGATACTCTGGACAGAATGTAACGACGACGAATTGCGTTCGGGAACTCATCTGGGCCGTCGATTCTCAGCTGCCAGTGGGCCAGTTAGGAAAGACTGTAGACCATTCGATAGAGGGAGCTCTCCGAATAGATTTGTACACTCGAAGCGTCATACCTTCATTATCACATTTTTGACGGGAGTGTCGATGCTGTCAGAAGAAATATCAGCAACGTGTCCCTGCAGAAAATGGAGAACCATTGCATAACGACAATCGTTCTTGAGGGTAAGATGTAAATGATGAGCTCCATAGGAAACGACGGCCACTGAATCGAGAAGAAGTGGACAACAAATTTGAGAATAAAATTCAACATTACATAGAATTTATAAGTCATAGTTCGACAATGACGAATAACCGTGAATCATGATGGGCGATCAGCCACGAAGACACATGTCCTCGATCAACATAAACATGTTGATGAAGCAAACGTCAATAAACACACGCTGGAGTAACGAGGGAGCAGGCTGAGCAGCAGAGACACAGAGAGGATGGTGGTGTGGGAGGCACCTGAGTGTGATGCAAAAGTTGTAACAACCATAGTTTCCTTCTTGAGCAGGTTGTTGCGTCGAGCTGTGGCGTCGAGTTTGGTTGTGCCGCAGGTGGAGTTGCCGCTGAGGACGACTGACCGGTTGGCTTTCACAATAGACGCGCGCTACGTAAACCTTCTGGAGATTCGGTTATGCATATGGCGGAATAACAAGCACCTCATACACCACTTACCTGTTGTTGTTCTCTTCCAGCAGAAACTGTTGCGGGCTTGTGTGCCACGCGAAGAAACTGCGCCTGGGGCGTTGTTGCATCGAAATGATCTCGATTGCTGCAGAGTGAGGGAACACGGAAGTTCTAGAAGCAGTTAGCTGAGGACGGACAAAGTACAGACAGCGCCGAAGGATTATACGACTGGGAAGCTACTTATCGTTGACATTTGTGCCCTTTGCAAGATAAAGCACAAGGTTTGCCTGGAAAATAGTCGCCACACGGATCTCCTCGATCAATCGATCACTGAAGGCTTTGGACCTAGCTTCGAGCTGTGATAGTTGTGTCAGCAATATTGGGGAGGAAGACCTAGTCGAATATGGCAAGGCAGGGTACTTGGGATCGAGTCACGGTTTCCTGCTGTAACGGTATGGCTAAGTATTCAACTTGAGGTATGACTAACACGTACTGGAAGCTCAGGAGCTATGTCCTGGAGAAGACTTTGTCGTATCCGCCATATGCGAGGTGTCTCCCATCCCGGCGAGTGACTAGTGACAAGTGACAACCTGACCTGGCTGCTTACTTAATTGCGCGGGGGAACTGTTGACGGAATGCTGTGCCTTGACTCTTGTCGAGTGTACTAACTTGCTCAGGCTCGACGAGCTCGCCTGTTTTCAGATTTGAGGTTTATTTTGTTGCTCCTACCTTCGATGCGATTTTGTCCCCCTAAGGCTTTAGTCACCGATCGTGTTAGGCCCAGGATTCCGAGAGGAGAGGCCTCCTAAAATTTTCAAATTCGAAGTGCACTCTTCAATCCTACAACCATGACTATGGCGGTCGGATTCTTGTCGCTTCCTACAGAGCTTATATGTCATATTCTAATCCTTCTTAACCCCAGGGACATTAGTCACTGTGCAATGGTTCGCTATTCCCCGTAGTTCCACAATCTCCTCCATGGCTAACACGTACGTTTGATCATACTAGACTTGCAATATCTTCTGGCTCGTGGTCCGGAATTCTGTCTACATTCAATACAAGCTTGAAATTTATGCTCAAGGCTTGATTAGTACTGGGACCGCTACCATGAATTCGACCGGCGTTTCCAGAAAGACTCTGTGTTCGCTCAAGAAATTGGCATTTTTGTGGCGATCTGACTTCTATGCGACCACTACCTTTGAAACAGTGGTCACTACTGCTACCACATGGCAAACCATGTTACCGATCCAAGATGTGAAATGTGGGCTTTGGTGGTCACACTCGCTGAAAGAAGACAAACTCTACATTCAGGGTTGTGGCACAAATCTTACGCTCTCCCGGACATGGTCTATTGGTCATGTCGAGGGCTTTTTTACTACATTCGACCCTCTGCAGGATCTTATGGTTGTGTGTTCTAAGCCTGATGATTATGTCACTGTGACCGATGCGGAACAAAATCACCATGTCTGTCGGGTGCAGTTTCGACTGGCTTCATCCCAGCGTCCGCATCCGAGCGCTGTGTGCACTTCTTTGGAGTGTAAGCATACCTTTGATGCACCTGGCTATTACTGTGCTACTTTGTCACCGCCTGTAATCTGTGGCGATCGCGTATTTATTGTCTATGAAATAGAGGACACGGATGACTGGCCTGTGTCCGGCATGTTCATACAAGTGATCAATTGGAGGAAGGGATATGTAAATAGGGTAAGTTCATCCTTTTTGTGACAATTCTGCTGCTCAGCATAAGCAGCATTTTTTATGTCAACCGGATGTCTACGACCAACATGGTTTCTATCCAGTCGATGAACAGAAGTTCGTCATCATTAGCCCAGAAGGCTCGATATACTTGTACACGTTACAAGGGCTCGATGGGCCGCCTCAGTGCCGAATCATATATCACCCTCCCACGATCCCCCATCTATCATTACGCGAATCGGAAATCGTTGTTCATGGCCATCCATCACTCCTTGGCAAAGCAGCACACCCAGGACTCATGCCGAGCTATGTGCCCTCCCTGGAGTCGCAGATTATGGTTTTAGAGTTTCTTTCCGAAGCGGGGGATGCCATCCTACTCATCGATATGGCCATCTTCTCTGACATGGCCTTGCACTCAGATATGCTCGTCGAGATTCCCTGGTCAGATTGGGGACCTCAGTATGCGTGCTACTTTCCCCACCACGAAAGCTACGATATCAGCGTGTTTGGCAGCAAAATGGCCTATGCTCTTCCTCAAGATCATATTCCCGATCCTGGTCAAAGACTGGAAGAGCTTTCCAGTGAGGGTCACTTCTATGTGCATATCTGGGACTTCAATAAGCGAGTCATTGCTCGCTCGGAAAGTGTCAACGATCCTGACTCACCGGACCTTCGCATTTGCAAGCCGGGTCAGATGATTGACTCCTCTGGTAAAGACATCTTCTCGGATCGTGCATACATCGCAACAGTCTGTCGTACGTCATTTCCGACAGCTGGCTCCAGGATATTCTTGGAACAGGATCGGCTTACTGTGACATGGGTACGTGTTCTTCGTTTGAACACAGTAACAGTCTGATGTGGCTACGTTGTAGGTTCTGCATGATGAGATTAGTATTCGGGTCATTTCCCCCATTCAGACGGAGGTTGGCCCGGACCTTACAGAATAGACAGTTTGGTTATGCTTGTAACATGTTTATATTGGAAAGTGAGTAAGATAGGTGGGACTTAGCGACGCCGATATTGTTTTACGAACAATATGACAAGCAAAATATCGCTTTCGTTGTATCAATTTACTCCGTCAAACCGTGGGCAACACATTCAACACTGGTTCCTAATAGTCTTTACTCCAGTAGTGATCGACGGCGGAAGATCATCGCCTGGCAGCGCCTCATCAGTCTGCGGCCGGTCAATGGAATTACGCAATGAGGCAATATCGCGGTTCATGGTGCTTGATAACTGTCACTAGCGCATTGTATGATGATGGCAATGAAATGTCTTTCACTCACCCCATCGCATCTATAACACAACAGTCAAGTCTGACTGTGTGAGGCAGCAGTAGTTCAGAAACTATTGCATTCTTTATCAATGAAGGGGATATTGGCTGTAGGAAATTCAATTCGTTTGGAGTAGCACTGAATATATTTGTTCATCCACACCGGCGAGTTTCCACTGCAATTGACACCCTTAATTGCATGACACTCTGTTGTACGCTACTAGAAGATGTCAGGCCTCGTGCGGGTTAGTGTCGTGCCGAAATTTTTGGAATGAGATGCAGATATTGATGTCGAATGTCTCAGCTTCGCAGCAATTGAATGCGTTTCGATATCCTACTCAGAATATTCAAATCGCTCTGGGAGAATACGGTCTGTTGATTGTCGTTACGTAGTAGTACAGAGAGATAGTGGCTAACAAAATCGAGATCGTAGAATTAAGATATGGATGTGCTATAGGGTGAAGTATGTATAAGGATGTGCTATATGGTGGAGCATGTGTAAGATGTGAAGTATGTACTATGACGGACAAAGATGCAAAATTTCAATCATCCGCGTCATCCTGTGCTTGTGAAAGGGCTCGTAAGACATTGTTAGGTATACACATCACCTCTGCAAATCTATCTGCAAAAAGCACACCACTTTGAACTCGTGCCTTGATGGCGCAGAGATCTGCGAAGGCGACGGGGAAGCCGAATGCACCACTTAGATTGTACGCATAGGATGCCATGATGATTTTGAGTTCCTCGTCGGAACAAGATAAAACCTCTGGTCGCCGCGCAAAGTGTTGAGCTGTCTTTTGGATCGCTCGTGTCCTGGGATCCGGAGACCCCTTCCCTTCTGAAGCCTTCTTCTGGAGAGCAACAGCGACTTGCCACTCTCCATGTACTCTCTGGACATGAACTTTGCCAGCATTTAAGTTGTCTTGCAGAATTTGAAAACCGTTGTGCGAAGCTTGTGCTGCCCTACGAGACGTAGAAAGGTAAGGTGAAGCGAGGTCGCGGTCTGCCGTATTGGTGGATGAACTCCGGAGGACAGAATAATGTTTGAGGAAGTCGTCACGGAGGCGACGGCCCTCATCAACAAGGGCATCCAGGATGTACGGAGTCGAGATTTGGCAGTCTTTTCGGACTTGTAAAAATTTCTCTCTTTCACACTCTTCTTACTTAGTACTATCTTAGTCTTAGTTCCGAAAACCGTCGTACTTTACTTCTTAGAGGTGCCGCCAATTGTGCTTGATGCCTTGCCACAAGAGGCATATCTGACCTTACTCAGGTTAACTTGTAGCAGCTTAGTAGCTGACGCGGACGACGATGCTCGCTTGTTTTTAGATGAATTTTGTTTTGTTGCGATGTTGCGATGTCCCCTCAAGGCTCCAGTCACGGTGACGTGGAGAGGAGAGGCCTCCTAAAATTTTCAGATTCGAAGTCCTCTCTTCAATCCTACAACCATGACTACGACGGTCGGATTCTTGTCGCTTCCTACAGAGCTCATATGTCACATTCTAATCCTTAACCCCAGGGACATTAGTCGCTGTGCACTGGTTCGCTTTTCCCCGTAGTTCCACAATTTTCTCCAGGGCTAATGTTTGATCATGCTAGACATGCAATATCTTGTGGCTTGTGGTCCGGAATTCTGTCTACATTCAATACAAGCTTGAAATTTATGCTCAGGGCTTGACTAGTACTGGGACCGCTACCATGAATTCGACCGGTGTGTCCAAAAAGACTCTGTGTTCGCTCAAGAAATTAGCATCTTTGTGGCGATCCGACTTCCATGCGTCCACTACCTTTGAAACAGTGGTCACTACTGTTGTCACATGGGAACGCATGTTACCGGCGATCCAAGATGTGAAATGTGGGCTTTGGTGGTCACACTCGCTGGACGAATACAAATTCTACATTCAGGGTTGTGGCACAAATCCTACACTCTCCCGGACATGGTCTATCGGTGATGTCGAGGGCTTTTTTACCTTCGACCCTCTGCAGGATCTTATGGTTGTGTGTTCTGAGCCTGATGATGTTGTCACTGTGACCGATGCAAAACAAGATTACCATGTCTGTTGGGTGGAGTTCCGACTGGGTTCATCCCAGTGTCCACATCCAAGTGCTGCGTGCACTTCCTTGGAGTGCAAGCATACCTTTGACTCGGATGCACCTGGCTATTACCGTGCTATTTTGTCACCACCTGTAATCTGCGGTGATCACGTATTTATCATCTATCACATAGAGGACACGGGTGATCGCCGCCATCCTAAGCCTGTGTCCGGCATGTTCATACAAGTGATCGATTGGAGGAAGGGATATGTGAATAGGGTGAGTTCCCTCTGTTTGTGAAAATTCTGCTACTCAGCATAAGCAGCATTTTTTATGTCAACTGGATTTCTGCGAGTTAGATCTCTTCTATCCAGTGGATGAACAGAAGTTTGTCATCATTGGGCCAGAATCAATATATTTGTACACGTTACAAGGGCTCGATGAGCCGCCTCAGTGCCGAATCATATATCACCTTCCCAAGATCCTCCATCTATCATTATACGACTCGGAAATCATTGTTCATGGCCACCCGTCACTGCATGGCAAAGCAGCACACCCAGGACTCATGCCGAGCTATGTGCCCTCCCTGGAGTCGCAGATTATGGTTGTAGAGTTCCTTCCCAAAGTGGGGAAAGCTATCCTAGTCATCGATATGGCCATCTTCTCTGACACGGCCCTGCGCTCAGATATGCTCGTCGAGATTCCCTGGTCAGATTGGGGACCTCAGTATGCGTGCTACTTTCCGCACCACGAAAGCTACGATATTAGCGTGTTTGGCAGCAAAATGGCTTATGCTCTTCCCCAAGATCATATTCGTGATCCTGGTCAAACACTGGAAGGGCTCTCCAGTGAGGGTTACTTCTATGTGCATATCTGGGACTTCAATAAACGAGTCATTGCTCGTTCGGAAAGTGTCAACGATCCTGACTCACCGGATCTTCGCATTTGCAAGCCGGGTCAGATGATTGACTCCTTTGGTGAAGACATTTTCTCGAATCGTGCATACATCGCAATGGTCTGTCGTACGCCATTTCCGACAGCTGGCTCCATTATATTCTTGGAACAGTATCGGCTTACTGTGACACGGGTACGCGTTCTTTGTTTGAACACAGGAACGGTCTGATGTGACCACATTGTAGGCTCGGCATCGTGAGATTAGTATCCAGGTCATTTCCCCCATCCAGACAGACGTTGGCCTGGACATTACAGAATAGACAGTTTGGAGCAAAACGGGTGGGACTCAGCGACGCCGATGTAGTTTTATTATGAGCAATATGCGTTGTGTTGGCAAGCAAAATAGTAAATTTGTTTTCGCAGCAAAACAGGCGGGGTATAAGTATTTGCATCGGGGTTATATGCGACTGCCACAGCGTTGAACGTTGAGGTCTGTCATTCTAGAGTTCAATACATAATCAATCTGAGTCGAGTGCTGATGAGCAGTCGGGGAACCAGGACATTGCTGAATGGCGACGAAGAATATCGCAGTGCTTCTATGCCACCGGCTTCCGTCTGCATCATCACCCTGTGTCACATCATGCATCATGCTGTGGGCATGGGTGAGAATATCAGCAGGCAAATGCTTAGATATAGTAGCAACGCAACCTGCATCATGATGACGCTCAATATGAGATAGTTGAAAGCAATAGCATTGGTACTTGCGCTAGTATTATGACTGACTCCAAAAAAGCTGTCCAAACACCGTGGGACCTCCTCATTGTGATCTAGACTTGCATACACATGGCCATGTACCGACGATTCGATTTTTTCGCCATGTAGATAGCAGGAGCAGAATTACATACTTCTGTAGTTCTCATGCGCACGGCTACAATGTCACGGACTCATGAATTCACTTGGCATGAACCGAACTAACTGCTTGGTATCCTGAATCGCATTCAAGAATGGTAACGATATGGAGGATTCGATGTTCCGTGCTGTTCACGAGAGTACTAGGCTAGGTGCGGCGGTTATGGTTACTTCTTCCAGCATACAAATGGAAACCTGGGTGGCAGTTTCGTCCAGTGGCCGGGCCATATTCATGGAGTATACTGCGGCTCCCCTTGACACCACCGAGGCGGTTCCAACATGGGATTCGGAAACAACTATGTATCTACCTGTGACCACTAAAGACCCCAACTGCTCAAATACAAGATTCTTTTATTGTGTCTTTTCCTCTAGTTCTATGTTGATACGAAGCTCATATATATTCTTTTCTTGCAGAATTGCTATCGACTTCGATGACCGGACATCGTGCCTGTCAAGGTTACAAGTGCGTATATGGTTTTTTCTTGAAGTATACCGTGACAAATGGAGTGATAATGGGAGACTCGGGCCCGCCGTGATCATGATACTAATCATGGAGAATCCTACACCCCTTAGAACCACCAAGGGCGAGGCAATTCCGACGTCGGAAGCAACTACATATATACCTCTGATTTCCGGGATCCTAATTCGAATACAGGCATATCTTTTCCTCCAGTTTCTATGCTGGTACGGAGTTGATATGTGAATTCTTTCCGCAGAGATCAATGGCGCAGAACATCTACCGACTTTGACGGGACCTGGACATCGCTCCCGTCACTACAACTGGTAGGCTATTAGCCAATATCAAGATCACCTCAAAGTGAAGTCCTTTGAGTCATCATAGAAATTTCGAGCAAGCGCCATATCTCTGAATCTTCTAGCGCAGGCTCAAAGTAGTGTATATTTGAAACAAGAAATCAAGCAAGACAGTGATATCTGCTTGCTAAATTGCTAATATGGTCCGACTTCGAATGCCGCACTAGAGATTGTAGGGTTCCTACGCAGACAACACTTCGTAAGAGGAAACGGCGAAACCCTGGCTATATTGCCAATTCCTGGGCAGTATAATGGGTACTCACGAAGTGGCTGTACGGGCATAAAAAGTAACCATTGAAAGGTCAATCGTTCCTCATGAACATGGCATCACTTCTCAAAGTTCCATTTATTCTCTCGTCTGCTATCATGCAACAGATAGCGTTTACACCTCCAAACATCCCCTCGAGTAAAGAGACTATTCCCCAAACGTTCAATGAGCGGGTGTTCACTCGGCTTATTATATATGGGTTTCCGATTATGAAAGTGAGTGTTGTTACTGCTTGTCCACGACCATTTCTATACAGTGATACGCTAGACAGTTTACTGGATTGTTTCTGTCGCAGAGGTCGCTATCATTGCCTCTCAGACAGCAGACTCTTTGTCCGTTATACAAGCCATCGCACAACACGCGGCCGGTCACGGGATTCGTGACACGCCCATCACTTTCCCTTTCATCTTGGGCACCACACTTGCTGTCGCAGGGGGTCTTGTCCGTTGGTGGTGTTATCGGAGCCCCTTCAGTGACAAATTCCGTATTATACGGGCCACCTGACCTACATAATATCCCGTATCAGACGGGCCAGCGGACCATGGGCCCATGTTGTATATATCCTCGATGACGACGGATGGGCCGGGTAACATATTATTTCCGATGGAGATGGGTGGGCCCATGTATGCCAATGATATATATATCCTTGATGTTGACGGATGGGCCGGGGGAATATGATCATTCATGGAGATGGGTGGGCCCATCTGGGTAATATGTAGAGTAGGATATTATAGACAGCTGGGCTGAAGAGAGATGTAAGGCAAATATTGTTATATAGATGGGTGGGCCAACAGGGGTGTATTACATATATGGGTGGGCTGGGGTAGGGGAATATTACATAAATGGGTGGGCTGATGTGGGGCATATTACATATACGGGTGGGCTGACGTGGGGAGTATTACATATATGGGTGGGCCGAGGGTGCAATAAAATATTTATTACATAGACAGGTGGGCCGAGGTGGTGGAATATCACATATACGGGTGGGCCGACATAAGGGATATTAATTAGACGGGTGGGCCGAGGGTGTGATAAAATATTTATTACATAGACAGGTGGGCCAAGGTGGGGTATAATTATATAGACGGGTGGGCCAACATAGGATGTATTACATAGACGGGTGGGCTGATGTGGGGGATATTACATAGATGGGTGGGCTGACGTGGGGGAATTGTACATAGATGGGTACATATATGGGTGAGCCTAGATACATTTCATCAAGACATACAGCTGATGTAGCCACCAGCGAATCAAACACGTAGGATACATGCACACTATGAGTGCATATACCTACCATCAACCACCGAAATCTAAACCCATAAGCACGAAAACATGAATCGACCATGTGTGGCATTGACCAATAATGGAGTACTGAAGTGGGAAAACCCCACACCTGAACCCTGGTGTGCAATATATCCTATTTCTACACACAGACACCAGAAGCACAACACTCGCAAAAATATAAATGTCAAATTTTCACAGTGCCGAACCCCGAACCCTGAGATTTTACCAACTCCCAAACCCCGAAATTGTGGACTGCCGGGTCTCGGGGGTCGGCACTCAGGACTTGGGAAATTTGGGGAGATCAATAAAATTTGATCTACAATAAATTTGATTTACAAACTTTTGAAAGATATCTGTGTCGTCTCACATATTGAGTCCTGAGTTCTGGGACCCCCGAGACCCAAGACCTGGCAGTCCACAATTTCGGGGTTCGGGGGTTGGTAAAATGTTTATGGATATATGAAAGGTTGATTCAAACATGTTTGAAAGATGTCTTTCATCTCAAAAATCGAGTCCCGTGTTCCGGGTAAGACATCTTTCAAACATGTTTGAATCAACCTTTTGTATATCCATAGACATTTTACCAACCCCCGAGCCCCAAAATTGTGGACTGCCGGGTCTCGGGTTTTGGGGTTCAGGGGTCCCGGAACTTGGGACTCAATATGTGAGACGACACAGATCTTTCAAAAGTTTGTAAATCAATTTGTTTGTAAATCAAATTTATTGTAGATCACCCCCGAACCCCGAAATTGTGGACTGCCGGGTCTCGGGTTTCGGGGTTCGGGGGTCCTGGAACTCGGGACTCAATATGTGAGACGACACAGATCTTTCAAAAGTTTGTAAATCAATTTGTTTGTAAATCAAATTTATTGTAGATCAAATTTGATTGATCTCCCCAAATTTCCCAAGTCCCGAGTGCCGACCCCCAACCCCCGAGACCCGGCAGTCCACAATTTCGGGGTTCGGGGGTTGGTAAAACGTCTATGGATATACAAAACTCGGGACTTGACATTTGATATGAGACATCTTTCAAAAATGTTTAAATCAACCTTTCATATATCCATACACATTTTACCAACCCCTGAACCCTGAAATTGTGGACTGCCAGGTTTCGGGGTCTCGGAACTCGGAACTCGGTATGTAAGACAACAAAAATATCTTTCGGGGTTCAGGGGTTAGTGAAATGTTTATAGATATATGTAGGTTAATTCAAACATGTCTGAAAAATTTCGTTCATCTCAAATGTCAAATCCTGAGTTCCGGGTTTCAGGACTCGGCACCCGGCACTCGGGGTTCGGCACTGAAAATTTGACATTCGGGTGTTCGGGTTTCGGGTGATATCTAAATCACAACAGCTTCGAGTTCTGCCAAAGCGTGAAACTTGAAACCCAGTGTGCAACATGTTGATTTTTCATTTATATCACACAAATCATCGAGTTCCGAGTGCCCAGTGCTGAGACCCGAAAATATGTACACAACATGTCCATTTTTCACTCACTGCACAAATCACCGAGTTTCGAGTGCCAAAGCGTGAAACTTGAAACCCAGTGTGCAACATGTTGATTTTTCATTTACATCACACAAATAACCAAGTGCCAAGTGCCAAGTGCCGAAGCCCGAAGCCTGAAAATATGTATATAACATTTCCATTTTTCACTTGTTGCACAAATCACTGAGTTTCAAGTGCCGAAACCCGAAACTCGAAACCTGGTGTGCAACATGTTCATTGTTCATTTACATTACACAGATCATCGAGTTCCGAGTGCCGAGGGCCAAAACCCGAAGCCCGAGACCCGAAAATATGTACACAACATGTCCATTTTTCACTTACTGCACAAATCACCGAGTTTCGAGTGCCAAAGCATGAAACTTGAAACCCAGTGTGCAACATGTCCATTTTTTATGTACATTACACAATTCATTGAGTTCCGAGTGCCGAGGGCCGAGACCCGAAGCCCGAGACCCGAAAATATGTATGCAACATTTCCATTTTTCACTTGTTGCACAAATCACCGAGTTTCAAGTGCCGAAACCCGAAACTCGAAACCCGGTGTGCAACATGTTCATTGTTCATTTACATTACACAGATCATTGAGTGCCAAGGGCCGAATATTGAAACCCGAAGCCCGAAAACATGTATGCCACATGCCCATCTACTCATTGCACAAATCACCAAGTGTCGAGTGCCGAAACCCGAAACGCGGTACTTCAAATGGACATGAATTCTGTCTTTGTATGTATTATCCATTGGTGTAGGGTTGAAATAACTTGGGAATTGTATTTGTCAGTGCTCGGTAGTTGGTAGTTGGTAGTTGGTAGTTGGTAGTTGGTGGTTGGTAGTCAATATAGGCAAATGATAATGAAAAATGAAAGTTGTTATTACGCTTAACTTCCTTACCGAAGGTTGTAGTCCGAGTCTAGGGGAGTGTATTGGTAGTCTTTTCTTGTCCATCAGTTATCATTTAACCAAGATATAAGCTAAAGAAATCTGAAACATCGGCGATAATGAAAAATGAAAGTTATTATTATGTTTAAGTTCCTGAACAAAAGTTGTAGGCCGAGCCAAGGTGAGTGTATTGGTAGTTTTTTCTTGTCAATTGGTTATCTCGTTACTCGGTACTCGGTACAAGGGAATCAGTACTCGGTATTTGGTTCTGATACTCGATACCCGAGAATCAGTAGTCGGGTACTCGGTACTCGGTTCTGATACTTGGTACCTGAGAATCAGTAGTCAGGTACTCGGTACTTGGTTCTAATTCTCAGTACCTGGGAATCAATAGTTGGGTACTCCAGCCAATAGTCCCGAGTCCCGAGTACTGATACTTGGTATTCGGTAGTCAGGTTTGGAACTTGGGTCTTGGTTTGGTTATCATTTGACTGAGATATTGGTAGGCAATATTGGCACTCGGAGCTCGAATACTGACTATCAACTATCAAGTGTCGGGACTTGGTAATCGGTAGTTGAGACTTGGTGCTTAAATGGATATTGCATATATACATAAAAATACAAAATATGTTCCTATGTGTTCATTTCTAGGTGAATAGACTTTGAAATTATATCTCAATCATCTATTCAACAATAGAAACAATGTATCAGGAGCTCAGGACCATAGGGTAATCCTTTATTGTATAGTGTACCTCCCCCTCTTCTGGTGGTTCACCCGCTGGGGTTTTTTCCCTGTAGGACTGGACCTCAAGGACTGTAGGGAGTCTATTCCTGAGCATATTCAGAGTAGATATATCATATAACCAGCCCAGGACACACAGGATCCTTCTCCAGGAACAAAGCATAGACAATTGCACTTTTGACATTTTTTCATGATTTTCAGTATCTTGCCCTTGCATCCATGAATCCAACCTTTTAATATATAATGAGCATAGCTTATATTCTTGCTTCTTATGACCAAGATCAGCTCACAATAGGCTGGAGTTTGTGAGCTAGTGTGTATACTTGCCATTTTGCCTGATAAGGGGCCCATGCCTTCAAAACATTGAATCTTCGTAATCAGAAACCTGGGGTACATTTCAAATATCTTAAGTATCATAGACATAAATTTACAGACAAATCAACCAAGAATTGAGTACTGAGGAAGTGAAATGGGTAAGAAATTGAGTGTGGGAAACTTCAAAGACCCAAAGCATCGAAAATGGTTAGTTGAGCAGTGGTAGGACTTTAATGCTGGGTCAACTCATATTTTCACTATATCCCTTCTACCCACCCCCTACCCTCAGGGCAGTAGGCAGTATGGGTTCCTTGGGTAGTTTACGATCTATCCTACATATTTGTAATGATATTTTCAGCCTGAATCATATATAAATGTGACTTTGTATAAAAGATGTCTATTGTCACTCTCCACACATATGTCATTTTGCCTATCATTACATCAATCCTTCATGAATCTTTCTAGGCTTTTAAGCTATTATAATGGATGTATATGGGTGTTATTCCAGGTCTCTCATCACATCACAGGCTTGTTATGTTGGATATCTCGACATAATGTGCAAGTCTCGCTGTTAATATTCATTCTTTTATCTTTACACTCACTTACTGCACACATGTATTTCATTTGTCATTATTGATGTTTCGGATTTCTTTAGCTTATATCTCGGTCACATGGTAACCAATGGATGAGAAAAGACTACAAATAAACTCACCTAGACTCGGACTACAACCTTCATTAAGCTGACTACTGATTCCCGGGTACCGAGTATCAAAACCAAATACTGAGTACCAATTACCATGTACCGAGTACTGCATAATGAGTAACAAGATAACCAATTGACAAGAAAAGACTACCACTACACTCACCTGGACTTGGACTACAACCTTCGGTAAGGAAGTTAAGCATAATAACAACTTTCATTTTTTCATTATTGCTGATGTTTTGCCGAATGACAAGGAAAGACTACCAAGACACTCACCTTGACGTGGACTACAACTGTCATTTTTCATTATCATTTGCCTATATTGACTACCGAGTCTCGAGTACCGACCACTGACCACCGATCACCAAGTACCAAGTACCGAGTACTGACAAATACAATTACCAAGTTATTTGAACCCTACACCAATGGATAATACATACAAATACAATTCGTGTCCATGTGAAGTACTGGGTTTCAGGTTTCGACACTCGACACTTGGTGATTTGTGCAACAAGTGAAAAATGGACATGTTGTGTACATGATTTTGGGTTTCGGGCTTGGTCTCGGCCCTCGGCACTCGGAACTTGATGATCCATGTAATGTAAATGAAAAATGGACATGTTGCACACTGGGGATTGAGTTTCTGGTTTTGGCACTCGAAACTTGGTGATTTGTGCAGTGAGTGAAAAATGGACATGTTGTGCACATATTTTCGGGGTTCGGCCCTCGGAACTCGGAACTTGATGACTTGTGTAATATAATTGAACAATGGACATGTTGCATACCCGGTTTTGAGTTTCAGGTTTCGGCACTTGAAACTCGGTGATTTGTGCAACAAGTGAAAAATGGAAATGTTGCATACATATTTTCGGGTCTCGGGCTTTGGGTTTCGGCACTTGGCACTTGGCACTTGGCACTTGGTTATTTGTGTGATATAAATGAAAAATCAACATGTTGCACACTGGGTTTCAAGTTTCATGCTTTGGCACTCGAAACTTGGTGATTTGTGCAGTGAGTGAAAAATGGACATGTTGCGCACATATTTTCGGGGTTCGGATTTTGGCTCTCGGAACTCGGAACTTGATGACTTGTGTAATATAATTGAACAATGGACATGATGCACACTGGGTTTCAAGTTTTGGGTTTCAGCACTCGAAACTCGGTGATATGTGCAATGAGTAAGAAATGGACATGTTCCATACATATTTTCGGGTTTTGGGCTTCGGGTTTCAGCACTCAGCACTCGTAACTCGATGATCTGTGTAATGTAAATGAACAATTGACATGTTGCACACTGGGTTTCGAGTTTTGGGTTTCGGCACTTGAAACTCGGTGATTTGTGCAGTGAGTGAAAAATGGACATGTTGAACAATGGGTTTCAGGGTCTCGGGTTTGAAAAATAGCATAATAACAACTTTCATGTTTTCATTATCATTTGCCTATATTGACTACCGAGTCCAATAAGGGACCCCTTGGATGATCCATTGCTCAATGAAACACTACCTGATTGGAAGTGTGCTGGTTATCAGATATTCATTTGTCAACTCCCGGGTCCTGGAACTCGGAAGTCGGTATGGTTGACCCAAATTTGGGTGGTTGGAACTTGGCATCTCATAGGGCAACACAAGCTTCACACCCCGGATTCCAAATTCTGCAAGACAACCTGTGCACCATCAAAGGCCATGTCAGGAGATCATCTGCTGCTCCGGGAACTCGGTAACTTTGATTTATTACCTCCTCTGAGTACGGTTGACCCAAAGGTTGATAATCGGAACTTGGCTTCTCATAGGGCAACACAAGCTTCGCACCCCAGATTCCAAATTTTGCAAGACAACCTGTGCACCATCAAAGGCCATGTCAGGAGATCACCTGCTGCTCCGGGAACTTGGTAACTTTGATTTATTACCTCCTCTGATTTGGTTGATGTACAACTACCTCAGCTCCATCATGTCTACAATTATGATACACATGGGCCCACCCATCTATATTTTATACCACCCTCGGCCCACCCGTCTAATACAACATCCCATACAACACCCTCAGCCCACCTGTCTAATACAATATTTTATAATACCCTCGGCCCACCCATCTAATTTAATATGTGTCTGGGCCCACCCATGAATGTGATAACAAGTACCTACCCATCTATCTCATACACATCTACCTTAATACACCCATCTGCATAATATCCAACTACCTCGGCCCACCCATCTACCTAATATTCATGTACATTGGCCCACTCATCTACTCTATATATTCCCTGCATGGGCCCACCTGCCTCCATCGGGAATAATTTGCCTCCCGGCCCATCCGTCATAGTCGAAAATATTTTTATCATGGGCCCATGGTCTGCTGGCCTATATCATATGGGATATTATGCACGTCCGTTCCCTCGTATTATACGGAGATAGGTCACTGTAATATGTGGTTATCGCACCCTCGGTCGCTTTTTCACATTCGAACTCAGTGTTCGCAAAGGGCATCATATTGTCACGACCGGACCATACACTGTCATACGCCATCCATCATACACAGCAGGTATTATACAGATGACTGGCATGGTAATACTGCACGGATCGCCCACTTCGTGGCTTAGACACTCCGGAGTTCTAGATATTCCTGGACTCAAATTGGCTGTGGTGTCATGGCTTGCAGTGATCACGCTTCTTGTTATCAACATTGTGTTTAGGGTCAGCGAAGAGGATGAAGCACTGAAATCAGCTTTCAGAGATGAGTGGGCGAGGTGGGCGAAGGTGGTCAGGTACCGACTGATACCTGGCGTCTACTGAACCCATTGCACTCGACATATTGGTGTTTTGCGACGGTTACAACTATTCCCCGTTCAATCTTAGATGACCCGCTCATATGAGAAGACCGTCTCTCCCTTTCCTCGTCCAAAGTTAGAGGGGATTCATTTCAAAGTCTCATTCTACAATAGCGCTCAGTTTCTTTTTTAGATGACGGTGACACTGGTAACTAGTTTAGACTGTAGTGCAATGGACTTTGTACAAATTTTGTATTAGTCTTTTTTCTACTTTCTCTTTGTAATCTGATATGCTCCTAGGCTAACCTCGTATTTCATATAAGGCCAATGAGAGGAGGTTCTGGATAATGTTTTTGGGCAATACATCGCCCAGACTGAGAGAATCGCAATGAGGACTCTCGCTATTGTACCTCCTGTG